ATCCATTGAAAGGTCCAAGCAGAAATTCCAGGACGAATTTTCGATTAACCGTTTGGCACGCTGGAATTCGCTCAACATTCGCGGGTCATCGGGAATCCTCGAGTTCTTTCACGTCGGCTGTTTGAAACGCAACTGACTGGCAGAAAGAAGCAGACAACGAAGAAATGGAAGAAGAGAAGCGAGAAGAGAAGAGGAGACACACGTGTTCGGGAGCACATCAGCTGGGGATGTTTGTCCGTCCGACGACCAACGTGTAGATAATTTCTACTCGAAATTAACTGTTTGCGTTGAAAAATCTATTTTCCTGTTTTAGCGAAGAATAATTTGGAAGTTTTTAAAAAACGTCTTTGTTTTCTTGTTAGAAGGATTTATACTTCTTTTGGTCAGGTCTGGAATTCTGATTTTTGCGTAAAGAAGTTGCTAGCGCAGCGTTCTCGGAAACAAACGTAACTAGCTGCGGTAAAAGTGCAAAAAGACCGGTCAGTGCGCGAAATTATCTCCTTCGAAGACGAACGGAATCGATGCTCCAGCGTTTCGAGGAAACCGCTGCAAATTGGCATCGAACTCCTTGCGGGATAATTAAGCAGCTTACATTCACTTGGCATTGGCTTTAATTGTAGGAGAGTTCTTTTTCTCGAGCTCTGTTTTTTTCGTACGAAACTTCTGAGTTAGTTGGAAAAAATTGAAACGCAAGTAGAAGTAATGTTTCTCCACTGTATGGTCAGACGAGTGGATGAAAGAAGAAAGAAACTCAACTCCTGAGGAACGTCCGGTTGTTGATCCGGCTCTGCTCGCCTGATGCGAGTGCCAGAAGTGGCCGCGTCGAGAAAACGCACTCGCAAACGAGTGTGCACGGCTGATGAACGTTCTTATACGATGCGATCGCATATGTTCACCAGTGGCGTAGCAACCGGTCCGTAATTCAATGAGAATTCTCATTGTCCATTCGTTTTCCTTCGCGACAGACTTTGAAAAATATTCGATTCTAATAGGGTTAAAATCAAAGTCTATGCTACTGCCGCGAGTGATCCTGATAACGAAGCAACACTCCACTCTCCGCGCTAATATTACGCGTTAAAAGGCGTTAAAATTAGTTTTCGCATCATCGGCGTTCACCTTCTTCGTGGGATGATTTCGTACGCACTTCAACGATGGAATGAAATCAGGGCCAAAATTAACTCAGCCCCGTCGAATATTCGATAGATAACGATTTGAAATCGTTAAAATGCAAATGGAAAATGATTTTAGATTTCATGCGAACTTGATGGAAGGACACGTGCTGGGCAGAAGCGAGTAGAATCTCACGCTTCGCCGATCCGGGTGCCGTTTTTATTCGTCCCCTCTACGCTTTTACACGATCCATTTTATAAATACAAACTCTTAACAAATTCAAATAATCCCTCGCTTTTGTAAATTTCTCAAAAGTCGCTAGCCTAGTGTTGATATCTATTATTTTAACTGTCAGAACGATAGCCTTTCAACTGAATCCAACCTCCGTAAGATCGATCATGCTCGGCACTCTCATCCCTCTTCCGCACGAATTCGTGGCAACAATCTCGAGTGGAGGCGCTTTCGTTGAAATCTAGAAGCGGCTAGGTCGAATATTGCATGCACGAAATGCCGGGAGAGTGCGGTAGACCGAGGAACGGCGCATCGACTTCCGGTTCTCGAGGCAGGCTTAAATGGCGCGTGCAGAACTGGAAGCCGGGATACCACGAAACGAGAGAAAAACAAGGTAGTATGAAAGAAAAAGGAGTCCTCGTTCATGGACACGTCCTGACCGATTGATTTCGTTCGTGTATACAGGTTGTCTCAAAATATACGCGAACCAAAACTCGAAAGTATTTCTTCTTCATCTTCGAAAATCGAATAAAAATTTTTCAATTTTTCTTCCGATCCCAAAGCTTTTGAACATTGGTAGGTATTCAATGAGCGAGCCACGTAGGGAAAGGCAACGTCCCCGTAACTCAGGCTGGCAAGCAATATCGAAGATCTACAGAGGTGAAACGGACAGCGTGCTTTCGTATTTCATGCGAAACAGGTGGATATTGCCGCCGATGTATCACCCAGACGGTGCACCCTACCCTCTCCGGGTGCTTCCCACAGTTAGGGCAACGTTATATCTACAATTTCGATTGGCCTCGCGATTTATTTCGCTCGGCGTTCCTTCACTTCATCTTCGACGAATATTTCTGAAATTTCGTTTATAATTATTTCATGCAAATGCAATAAAAGTTGGCCGCGCTATGCGTCAGTGTGACAGGATCTTATCTCTCTTCCTTTCGCTTGTTCCCCACATCCGCTTTCTCTTTCGTCGCTATATTTACCCCGTCATTCCTTTCCCACGATTTCATCCCGCGAATATGTTCCTCGATGCTAAAGTGTGCCAACCGTTTCATTTACGAATACTTTGCCTACTCATTTTCGCTAAACTTCGAGCATCAAATTGACACGCGAAGCGAAGCGTCGAACGTTTAAAAAGTTTCCCTCGCAGGAAGCTTTTATTCGTTATTTGTTCGTGGAATAAAGTTAGAGGGAAAGAGGCTGGAGGAGTAATTTCGTAGGAAAGCGGTAACGATATGCAGCAACAAAAGCGTTAAACGAAAAACGTTCGCGATGAACGCGGCTGAGCACAAGCCCGGAGGATTTAAGATGGCCGATTTTCTCGCGGAAACTTTCCCGGCTCGTCGTTTACAGCCAAATTACAGCAACGGAATTATTGCCGCGCAAACGAGAACAAGGGGGTAACAGAGGGTGACGACTATTATTGCACCCTCTTCAACACCGTATTCGGTGCTTTCGCTGATATTACAATGCCACCCAACAGTAATAAAATAGGATATCCTTTAACCCTTTCGTTGAGTGATTAAATTACAATTTTTAAAATAACATCTAAAATGCCTTTCCAATTTCGACGAGACCTCTCGCAACGAATGTAGAGATAAATAATTCAAGTATCTGGTGCACGAGACCCTGGGTATTGGCCGGGACAGCCAGAAGTTTGTCTCAGAATTCACTGAAATACACGGGGAACGTGCGTGTTGAAGTTTCGCGTGAAAATTCATTCGTTTCATGAAAATATCTAAGTACTTCGAGTTAAGTTTCGAATAGGAATTGAAATGCGACGATCAGCGTGGAAAATTGAGGAGAAACTGCATCGAACGTTGATCGGCGATCGGCTTTGAAACGAGTGCACTTGTGAAAGTGACCGCATCTGCAGCTATTGCAAAACGAGGTCTCTTTCGTTGGCAATGTGTCAGAGACGTAACACTTTGCGACACTCTAACGACCAAACGATCGTTTCCATGAACCATTTCTTTTCACTTATACTACATAGGTCTACGTTACTAGCTACCTAAACAACGTGAACGTATCACAAATGTTTCACAACAAACTTGATCTTTCTGTTTACTCTGTTCTACACCTAATACATAATACTTTCAAAGATATTCCTGCGGTTTGATTTCAACTAAAGGGTATAGCCGGATAAGATGGTCAAAAGTGCCCCCAAACCAAATTCGACTTGCTATGAACCATTCGATAGGTGATCAAGAAAAACGTGCCTCACAAATAGAAATGTCTCTGATTTTTTTCAGAATTTTCGACTGTCATTAAATGGGAGAAATTGGCCAAAAACCTCGCAATTACATTTTTACCCGTAACTACCCTCCCAGATAACATACAGGGTTGAAACTTGGCACAGACTGGTTTTTTTTGATAAGCTATCGAATGAGCCATTGCAAGTCGAATTTGGTTTGGGGGCACTTTTGACCATCTTATCCGGCTATACCCTTTACTAACTAACAAGTTAGAAACTTTGATAAGTTTGTTTGATTACATTATACAGGTCCATTCGTCAGTGAGAATTCGTAGTTGGAAATCCTTCTTGCCAGTTGCTGGCTGTGAATCATGGATTTTCTAGACTGTAAAGGATCTTGAATTGAAACAGTTCCAAGACCACGATTCTCGAGATAGAAGTTAAACCGCATAGTTGGATATACTATAAGCAATATTGGTTTAAGTAAGATTGAATTTCGGCTATAGCGAACGGTACAGTTTTCCATCGCTAAATATAGGTAGCTCGATAATTGAAATAGAGTTATAGATTTTCTTCGATTTCGAGAGAAACAAATGGGGCTGGTTGGTTGGAGATTGAATAAAGTTATTCGAGGATAAAAATGAATTTCTATTCTCTAGTTAGGAACGAGATGGTTTTACTGGAAAGTTAGTAGAAGGAAATTTTATTCGAATAGCGGGCAACTCTGCTTGTTGCTGGTGGAGAATGAGAGGAATGCGACGCGGTGCGGTCGCAACATCAAAGGAATGAAGGAACGAGACGGCGAGTAGTTTAGCCACGAGCTGGCAGACACGTTAAACCCGGCAAAAGCTTCGTGGCCTATGGAGAAGGCATTGTTCGAACGCACTCCCATCGCGGTAGAAAGGATCCCATTCTTTTGGGAAAACTGTGAATTCGATCGTGGGAATTGTTCAATTTGTTTCGCCAACCTGGCACTTTTTTTTTTGTTGCTATTTATTTTTTCAAACGAAATCCTATCCCTCTGTTCTCGTGTTTTATCTCGGCTGACTCGAGTCAAAGTCAGCTCCGCTGAATTCTTATTCATCAACTTGCGTCGTGATTTATCTTCCCTGCAATCTTTGTTTCGCGGAACAATGAGAGAAGTGGATGATAAGAAATGCACTTCCAAGGAAGAAAAGATTCGCTAAATCGTGATTCGAAGGAATGCAACGGCGGACAAGGTTATATTTCAATGCAATTAAAGGCATCAACGCGTTGCACTGTGATCTCGTATCAATCATACCCGATATGGATTATTGAAAGTTAGAGATAGAAAAAGGTTAATCAGAGAAGGCGTTCTGTTAGACGTCGACGGAACTGGTCGTTCAAAGGTTCGTACAAAAGCGACAAACTCCATTCTACGGTAAGAAGGTGGCGAGAGAGGCAAACGCAACATTCCAAGGAGAAGAGAGCGGACACTCACCTTTGCTTGCGGTCTCAGCTTCTGCTTCGACGAATGGCCTCACGGCAGTCAGCATCCTCCGTTTCTCCTCCTCTTCGTCCTCATCCTCCTCATCCTCCTCATCCTCCTCCTCCTTCTCGTTATCTGCTTACCACATTCTGAGTACACGCGTAATCGAACACTATGCCCTGCAACAGAAGGACGCGACGTTCATTTCAGCAACAATTTAATTGAATCAATTCTGAAGCATCCTCCCACCAGGGGTTGATAGCGAAGCATTTTGTGGAACCATATTTTAAAGATTAACATAAAACGGAACGTTTTGATTTCTTTATTTAAGAGACGCTGAAATAGCCGTTTTCTCGAGCCGGTCGAGCGCTAACGACACGACAAGAATTCGAGAGTACGCCCACCATAGAAATGCCTACCTGCCCGCCCGAGTCGTTCTCTCTCTCTCGAGGTTATGAGTCACGAGGCCGTCGCACGCTTTGCTAAATATCTCAACATTTTGTCACGCGTTGTTCTCCCCTTAATCACGGCACGTTCGACGAGCCTCACGTTTTATGTGCCCTATTTGTTCCTTAGAATGAGATAATACTATACGGTAGTTCGCTATTTATCGCTCGCGTTACTATGCATTCAGACCAACATAACCCCCTTCCAAACGTATCGTTCATTATTTTCATAATCGATTACTTGACAATTTTACAGTTTCTTTATGATATTCCTTTTGATTTTCATTTTTATCGTGCATAATCTATGGATGTTATTAGCATATAAGTTTGTTTTCTACGTATATGCAAAACTTACCGTGGTTCAAGACTGCCGCACGTAGGACGAGGTGCACAACGAGGAGAGTTCGCAAACGATTCGCTCCTTTACTGACAATCAGTATTTTACTTCACTACACTTACTTCACGCACATAAATAAACTCCGTTTTGGTGAGACACAAGAAACCGTGAAATATCGTGATACCCACTTGATCCAACTGCCACAAACAACTGTACACTGTTAAAAGAATGATTTATCCTTTCCATCGAACTCGATGTTACGTTATCGAAACACAGTTGAAAGTTACCTATCGATTAGAGCGCTGAATATAGCAACAAACCGTTATCGAAATAATTGAATGGTACAAATTTGAAAAAATATGATTCACCGAAACGAAGATGGAATACAGGTTTTTTAAATACAACAATATCGATTTGAAATTTTTCACACAATAAAATGATCGATTATTATTGGAGCGAATAAAAAGTATCGATTTTGCGATCGTAAAACACTGTTCGAGAGAAATTGGATTGCCATGAAAATACCACTTCCAATACGCAAACAAAGCCTGATAAACTTGCCGCCTTTTATTTGCTTTTAATTAACTAAATACGAGTACAATACAAAATCGTTATCAATCAAGCATTGAACACGCACCGTTATCCCATGAAATTTTCCATATGCATCGGTTACTTTCAATTAGCGAAACACAATAGCTCCTCGAAACTTATCACCAGGATGCATCGTAGTAATTTATCAATAGAGAAATGCAGTTCAATATCTGCGTTCGCAGGCGATAAGATCGTGAGAAGATTCGTTCGAGAAATTACTGAAGATTTGTAAAAAGTTTCATCGGCAGTGTCCGTAAATCATCGCTACCGTCATGGCATCGGGCAAAGAAGGATGCTATTCAAAGACGAGAAAACCGTTCTCCATCCTGGTATCGAAGTTGAAATTACAGTGCGATCCTCAAACTCTCCTTCAGTTCACGTACACTTTCAACCGTTCCCAACAAAACGAGCCGATAGTTTCTCTCACGCAACGCCATCGTCTTCGAAGAAACAACGCGGGATGAAAAGAAGTAACCTAAACTTCACCAAGTATGGGCGCCGCGATCAACGCTAACCTATGTTGCGCTCGCGTAGATCGTCGTACACGGTCACGAAACTAGGTTTAAACCTATTTTCCACATTCGGAGAACGCGTTTAACAAGAGGGACGCGGGAGGAATCGTTGAAATTTCACGAGAGAACGGTTTATTTTCGAGACAGAACGAACGTAATGAAGCACACACGACGGTCGTGAAAGCGACACGACACTGGATGAGAACGGGCAACAGGTTCGTCGGGTTGCCCTGAGGAACGTGACGACGGTATGAACAGGAGGGGAAGAGGATAGGTACTGGCCAGGTAAGCCAGTGCCGCCATTGCTCCTGACGCAGCATCCACCGATTTGCAGTGGCGTAAACACACCCGATATCCCACCACAAAGCAGATTCCCTGCCACGTCGATTTGCTTTACACAATTTATACATTGCTCCCCGGCTGTTCAAGGTTCCCGCCGCTATTCCCTTCCAATCTCAACTGTAAATGTCTCCCGAACGGCCGGCGACACGGATGCGTTTTACCTGAGACCCGATTAAGGGTGAGAATTTCGGAATTTCGGAATTTCGAGAATACAAAAGGATATAGTCGATACCCGATAACGATCGGTAGTTAAACGGTCCATTCGTGGTATTTGATTATCGCGGGGCAACAGCTGACGCGGCCATTAATAGTTTTATTCGGTCCTTTTGCGGGCACCGTGGGATTTTTTTCCCTGTACGGTTGTGGTATCGCGTTTGCGGTTGGATTTGTTCGATATCACGTAGAACTGGCAGTGGAATTTATTTTACACAAATGCGGAATTCAGTAACTTGGTCAGCAAAATGAATTTATCGCGTTGGACGTGCATAAATGACATAATTTAAGAGGAATTTAGATGAGTAAGATGTTTTTGCAAATATTGTTATATATTTAGCAAGGAAGCTAGGCCTCAAAATCAAGAGGAATGGAGGGAGGCTCACCCTTAGCTGAGGAACGCCTACGCTCTACCTCATTGCGAGTAGAAATTTAATTAATGTATTGATTTAACAGTCTTATTAGGATGTCGATCACAAAGTCTGTAGACGAAATTGTGATTACGCCACTGCAGCAACAGGTTGCCGCCAATGAGAACCGCCGTGAATGGGCGCATTCGTCCGTTTGATAGCAACACGACCTGCCACTATGAGGAAACAAGGCGATCTTTGAAATTTACCAATCTTTATAAGCCCTATTATCAATTAACATCTCGTGCGACCAACGATACGCGAAAGATGATTTTGCAAACCATTCATAAATCAGGGGTACATGAACGGCCAATTTTTGTTATTAAATACCAGTTGAAAACAAGTTCGTTGCTTGTACATTTTGATGTAAATAAAAAAATAAAGGTATATGTTATATTATTACTTGATAAGAAGAACAATCATTCTGGTAACAAGAACTCAGATAAAAGAAGAATTGAAACCTCATTCTTCCATTATCAGGTGCATGACTAATTATCATGCCACTATTAATCAAACATGCTAAACATAGCAATTAATTTAGCGCTTGTAAAGCCAGTGGTGACTCGAGTATTATTTGTATATACTCGAATATAATTTTAGAGCACTACATAGTAAATGTTTCCTAAGATAAAGATATGTAAAAAGTCAAGAAAAACAACATACGTTATCGCGTACTTTGTGTTTTACGATCACAAATGTTTCTTTTTTCTGATACCTATTTAGTGTTTTAGTATTTTAAATAAATACTTGTTTGTTTTGACCAACGCGCCATATCAAAAGAGCGGCTAAAAATTTTCTTTAAAATCATATATTTTCAACCTCTGGAAATTAATGGATTAATAAAAATTGAAATATAAAAAGTGGAGAGCGTTTAAAATTTAAAAATGTGAGAACCTCTGAAAGAGTACGCCCGTCACGGATCGGTGCTAAGTTTGATCGCAAGGTGGAGGCACGGTATACGTTTTGTCTGCGCAAAGTACTGTCAAAGATGAACATTCGTTCCATAAAATCGCGTTGGATTCCGAGTGAAGGACTGGTACAAAAAGCAGCACGCTAGATTCGCGAAGCGTACGATGCACCGAACGGATAAGAGGCGTTTCTCCCTCTGATGAAAAACAGTCGATATTGACAGCTCACGCCTCGATCCAGGATAACCTCTCGGCCCGATCGACAAAAGTGACAACTCTTGCCACGTCCGAACTAAACGATTATCTGAAACGCAGCGAAAGTATGGCGTGTCTTTTATTGAATCAAGAAAACGTGCATATAAAAATACCCTCGGCTGACACCGTTGACGGTGTTACATATTATTGCATCGAGGTTAGGATTGCTTCGATCAAGTGGACCGTAAAGCACAGGTGAGCGCCTACAACTAATCATCCGAAATTTATCCCTAACGCAAGATCAACGTGTTCATGTTAATGCTAATCTTTTTTTTACCATTTTACAGGTACAATGATTTTGCTGAACTTCATGACAAGCTTGTTTCTGAGAACTATGTTAAGAAAGATATATTACCACCAAAGAAACTCATTGGCAATAAATGCGAAGCTTTTGTAGAAAAACGTAGACAAAGTCTAGAGATTTACTTGAACATAGTTTATAATTATTTAAAGAAAGCAATGCCCAGAGAATTGGCTGTATTTCTAGATATGCACATATACGATATATTTTTCCTACTACAGAGCATGGCTTTGGAATTTTTCACAGAAGGTGACTCTTTATTACAAAAGTCCAAGAGTTACAAATTCAATCCAGTACAGGTAAATTTCTTAATATTCGGTATAAGCTGTTCTATTATAATAATGCGGTTACTATATTTCAGCTGTATGCAATCAGTGAAAGATTAAAGCAGCCTTGTCCGCCGTTAGAAGTTGTTGACAAAAAGTATGATTTTAGTCATGTTCTGGATTTCAATTCTCATTTATCTGGCCTGGTGATCGAAGGAAGTTCAGACCCTTACAGGACCAGCAACATTTACACATCTGCTCTTTCAATTGACTTGTCAACTTTTAAAAACATAGAGGATCTGACAATTAATTGTTATCCAGTGGATAAAATATACCACATGGGCAATCTCAGAGATACCGTAAAATATTTAAAAGTGAACAACACGAAGCTCAGAAACATCGTCGAGTTGGCGATGTGCGAAGAGGTGCACAAGAACATCGAGAATGCGAACGACTCTCACGTTTGGTTGGAAGTTACCCACCTGGACCTTAGCGATAACCGAATAGAAACTATAGACGAAGCCATCAAACTATTACCGCACATAGAATGCCTCACGTTAAACAATAATCTACTGTCGGAAATTTCCAACGTTACCCTGCTACCGAGATTGTCTCAGTTATACCTGGCCTCTAACAATTTCACAACTTTGCCGGATAATCTGCATACGAAATTAGGCTATATCGTCTACATCGATCTTTCCCAGAACAAGTTAACTACCCTGGCAAGTTTCTCGAAATTGTATTCATTGGAAGGATTGGACGTGAGTTGCAATCGTATAGAGAAAATCGAGGAAGTGAAAAACATCGGGCATCTTCCTTGCTTGGAATATTTAAGATTGACCGGTAATCCCGTGTCGACCATAGTCGATTATAGAGTGAAAGTACTGGAACCGTTTGGAAAGAGAGCCGCGGATATTTGCTTAGATAATGAGAAACCTAATCAGAAGGAATTGGACACAGTTTCCGTTCATCAAGCGCTACGTATAGCGAAAGAGGGTAAATCACCTACGTTCACTGCATCCGACGCGCCTTTATTCTCTGCAGAAATTCCAAGTATATAGAAACACCGTCTAAATTATATTTTTATCGCAGACAATAGGTTTCTTAAGTGGAAGAATACTTTGATATGAATTTATACAATCTATCCAAATTTTATCTATTTCCTTGTCCTTGAAATGATATTGCTCTGAAAATTTGATCAGTTTATAAGAGTATGTATGAGCAAGGGTAGCCTTGTAAGTAAAATTCAATTGCTACTTGAAACTATGGACATTCAAGATCAACGTGTAATCTCGCCTTATATAGTCTTTTTTATACGGTATTTATTGTCGTGTTGGTGCTTTTTATCACCTTTTGACACAAACGATATCCTAATCAGTATAACGTATACCAAAACAAAGTAGTTTAAGCCTAGATTTGCCTGATTGGTATTTATGGTAGTTACACCCAAATATTAGAACAATTAATAGATACGGGATAATCGTTCTCTGTTCGAGGATAACGCGTGCCACCTACATGTATAAAAGAAAGAAGATGAAAAGAAAAAACAAGATTTGTGAGATTCTGCTGTGTACATAATTACTTTTAAATTGTATATTACGTGTTACCATCATATATTTTTTATACGAACACGAGATGTAAAACAAATCAATCAGATTTGAACGATGGTGTATTTATTTGTAAATTATATCGGGGAGAACTTGATTTTTATGCAAGCAACGCAGTGATTCTCAAAGTTAGCTCGAACAAAGTCTCAATTTTATGTTATATTTATTGAGAATCACCGCAACTATGAATTGTAAATGAAACTTATTTATTGTCGTGCATTTATAAATATATATATATGTATATGAAATAATGCATGTCCTATGTTTGTCAATGGTACATAATGAAAAATGTGGATCAATCAAATCTCTTATATTTTTATTCAGTGCAATCAATTTCGAATGTCTATCACCGACATATGTTATTTATTGGATAAATGTTTAATGCGATGTTATTTTGAAGAATGTAATCACGTTTCGTGTATAACGATTTTATAGTGATTTAACTGAAAACTATTAGTGTATATAAGATGATGAGAAATATTTTGTTAATAAAGAATTCTAAATCAATAAACTGTGATAACATGTAGAAGTGATTTTTGTTAATTTTGTTATTTATCATTGACATTTTGTAGGTCATTGAAAAATACCAAGGAAAAACCGATCTTTTATAGTTTATTTTTATTTAAACTTCCACATTGTTTCGCATTACCTTTTTAAACATACGTATCTCGACAATAGTAAAATATTCATAAATAATAATTATTATGATAATAATTATTACAATATGCTCACATACTCTAAGCATTCACGTGTTATAGTCTTTTAATGTAGTACACCTAAAACTAACACATACATAAATTACCGTTTTACAGAAAGGATATATTTTTTTTTTATTCGTATTTTTCATGAAACAACATCAAAGGCAATGCGTGTTTCTGGAAAAAATTTTTGTCATGTTTGAAAAAAAGAAAAGTACCGAAGCTGGTCATACGAAAAAAAAAAAGAAAAATTATTTATCAAATATCTTAGATTCTTTACGATTCTCACGACGTCCAAGCGTCGCTGTTATGTCTTAAGATTATAATCTTCATATATATGTGTATATATATATATATATTTTTGTATATTTCGTCGACCATAAATTCTGGCCAAAACGATGGTAAAAACACGTGTATCTCAAAGAAGTATCAAAGCGACAAAGCTAATCGAAAAAGAAAAACTTTGCATACCAAATAGTTATATATTAATTTTTATACAAAATTAGGCGTCTCTTAGAACAACTTGCCAGCTTTCGAATAAACGATTAATTTGTGAACTTCAAAATTCATTAACCCTTTTCTTATTCGATCTAGATTCTAGAACGTTTATTCGTTCGTTTCCGCTGGAGTTGAATTTCTCAAAAAGAATAAAAGAATTCTTGTTGTTTTCGATGTACTTTCTTTTTCAGCATCTTGTACTATGCAAAGTCACGAGAAAGAAATAATTGGTCGAAAGAATTCTAAAGAACATTTCTCTTCGTTGAACGCGCTGTGAACCTAGTCTTTGTTTTTAATTTTATTGTACGTCTCAAATAATTTCTTTTCAAAAAGGAAGCGATTGATCATCGCGAATTCGGAAGAAAAAGAAATTGAGAATAAGATGAGAGAAACTAGAAATTCACAGCGATAAAAGGATTGAATAAAAAGAAAAATAAAGAATGAACTTACGGGAATTGATGGGAAAGAGCAGGAAAGAGCGATCCGGAGGGCACACGAATGATGGAGTATCGAAGGAGATTTCAAGGAAATTGTTCTCGTGTATTTTGTTGGGATTTCTACTGGTGCGCAATCGGGATGAGCTTCTCGCCCGTTCCAATTGCCGGAAGTGGAGCCTCCACGGTAAGGACACCGTCCTTGCTCAACGAAGACTTGATGCTCTCTGGGTTGGTTCCTTTTGGCAACAGGAACTCACGGTTGTACTCTCTGTACACCGATTTGCTCTCTGTCTTTTCCTCGTGTTTCGCGTGGACCTGGACAAAAGAATGACAAAAACGCACTTTAGAATGATTAATTTTCATATAAAAAATAAGATTCATTGACATAAAAGGATTTTTGGATATGATGGGCCAAATCCTTTATAGGTATTCCAATTAAAGCATCGCTCTTATAGTTAACCTTATAATACATTTCAACTGAATTTCAACAGCGATCTATTTTCCAGGAAAATCTATCAACTTTCTAGCGCGTGCGTGTCAAGGCAGGGTTACGCGAATTCAGGTCGCCAGTTCGATTAAGTGTCCATATTAATAAATCAGCTAGGACAGGTCCGTTTCTGTGATCACGCAAACCCAACTGTAAAAGTCGATCGACGATTTTAAACCCATCGTACGAAACAAACAATGTAGACGATAGATTTCAACCACCCACTGACGAAATTTCTTATCTCCTCTTTATATCGCGGACCGATGACTCATAGCTATTCGTACACACTTATTGATAAATAGAAGTGCTCGAAAAAAGTCATTAATAATTGTGATAAAAACGACAATATTTCGTCTTAAAATAAACTACATCGCTTTGAATTAATTTTGTCGAACTTTACTTTCTGAAGAAAGTTTCAAGTTGGAGCTGGTATCTCGACCTAATTCGTAGGAAATAAAAAGACTGAAAGGAAGACACGAAACTTCGAGGAATTTCGTAGCAATTCTTAAGAAATTATGTAATCACTGGAACGAAATGGTTTATGGCAAAACGGAGGGTGGTTCTTCCACTTTGCATTAACATGTAATATACGATTTAAACAATCTACAGTTCGCGTCAACCTTGACCAGATTTAAAGGTAGAAAGATCACCTGTGACTTCTTTCTAGATAAATTCACGACATGAGAGTAAGCAGGTTACATTTTTGTAAATATCGATCGAAGAAGCAGAGGTATACCTCGAAACAAGGTCGAATTTACGGCGCCCTTCTGCCGCCATTTTCTTCCAGGTATTATTCCACCCTTTTCTCCCACCGTTCTTTTATCGCCACCCAACTGATAGCAATTTCTCTCAACGACACTCGTAAAACATCGTCTATTCCCAGACTTTATCCTTGCCTTCTATAATAACCTACTTTCCCCGGAATGTTTGCGTCATTTTACGAGACAAACTCCCTTCCCTTTTCCATCCCTTTCAACCCCTCGACATTTCACCCTTGATTTCTCGAAGGCACGAAACATGAAAAGTATATCAACGCGATTTCATTGCGCTATAAGAAATTGAAATTTTGCATCGACTCGCGAAATTACCCAATGTCTAAAGTAAGTAGTTTACACGAGGAGACACATTAAAAATAGAAGTTGCATCAGGCGGCTCTGCGTAGCGTTCGAGTAGCCGTTCGATGCCATGCAAATATTTTCCCGAGCAATCGGCGATTTCTTACGGGATTTCGAATAAATGAATCTAATTAGCGTGGCTGCGAATTACGTCACGAAGAATAATAAAACCGATCGCTAAAACCCGGCTATGTCATCGACGTATTTAGACGCACACTGTTGTGATCAAAGCAATTTATCTCGAAAGAATCGAGTAATTATCTGCTGCTAGTATCCTGGTTATGCATCACACTAACGGAAGTGTATCTTCGAAATTGGCATAAGAAGAATGATGTTTCTTTTTGTAAAATAATTACACGTTGAGTGTAAATAAATTTGTCGAGAAAGAAAATTCGATCGCGCCCAGGGAACACGAACAGTCTGTTAGCCTCGCCTACCCTCGCTAAAACGCGCTAATTAAGTTACGCAAACGACGCTAATTAGCTGGCTTTCGGCCTCCTCCAAGCGACGTCCTCCTCGTCGAGGTGTTCTCGTTCTTGGACCACTTTGACCGATCTGTCCGCGCCTCCGTGCCTTGCCAGCGAACCAAATAACCCGGCCTTAACCTTGCGAGACGAGTCGCGGAACATCTACCGATCTTGAATACACGGCCTCTCGTTGTGCAATTAACGCGCGATAATGTTTCCAATTAAAATATGATTCCTACGAAAAGAAATTATATTCTACTTATATTTTTTCTGAATATTCAATCAGTTTCCTCTTGTAATTACTAAACGAGGCGGGTAGTGGAAAACGGAAGGAGGGTAAAGCAACCGGAGAATTGCGGTTTTTCCGCTACGGTAAAAACAGACAGACTCGTCTGCTGTGGTCTCGGGACTCTTCCTCGTCTCCTGGGGTATTCTGTTACGATCGAAAGACGAAAATAAAAATAACATGCTAGACAGTACAGAATAGCAAGGGATTCTGTGACTAAATTGAAAATTCGATCGCCATATATTTTACAATTTAACGAAAGTGCAATTGAACCAGCTAAATGAACGACTACTTCAACAGTCGATACCCGATAGACACGCGAATCCTCGAATTACATTTCACTGCTAACTAGTCCTAATAAAATTACCGTAACCGTGTAACGAGGCTGGTTGAAACTATCGACTATCGATGCTTGGGAGAAACAATGGTAGAAGATATTTAAGGTGGAACAAACTCGACTTCCCTGTTTACCCTTCGCTTAACCCTACGCCGTTCCAGGGATTCTAATCGGTTAGCTGACTTGTGTTCCATAAAGAGTATTGAAGTGACGGCTATTACAAAATTAATTAGAATTTGAGCAAAAAGTACCACGTCTCGTCCGCTTGAAAATTCTTTGAATTGCTTGGAAAAAGGAGAATTTAACCATCATCAGAAGAGCATTTCTTCGGGTCTTTGCTGAAGCGTCTAGGTTGCGGTGGTAGAAGTCCGCTTGGCGTGCTCGCGATATCGATCGCGTTTGCCGTAAAAGACGAAAAGCAAAGAGGAGAGTGAGCGAGCAGGCAAGCAACCGGCGCGCCACAGGTAACCCTAGCCCTAGCCAAAGGGACACGAAGGGAAATGGCAAGGCAACGGACGAGCTGCTGCTGCTGCTGCTGGTAACTCAACTCTGCCTTGAATCTAAGCTTTCCAGCTGCAATATCGTCTTACCAGGCTACGAGGATTACGCAAACCGCTTCTAAACGACACTCGATCATCGAATTCAGATGCATTCTAGATGCCCTGCACTCTGTGTTATTGTCAGCCTTCCGGTTTAGCTATTTTTCAAAGTTTTCAAAGCTGGGCTAACTTTTAAAAACACTGCGACCAGTTTTCACCGAGGAATGAAGTCTGACCTAGAAAGTTCGCGATAAGCTTGTAACACACAAGAGTCAATTATACTGCATGCTAAGATAAGAAAAGTGAATATTTTAAAGTCGAGTAGCATTCGCAGAAGTTTAAGAAGGAAGATTCCATCGTTTCGGTGATTTCGAACAGCCAATCGGCCGAAAGAACGCGTCTGACTCAGAAACTAAATATAAACTATCAAATTTTGACGATGTTCCTTAGCTTCTAGTTCATTCCACGGATATTCATAAAGCCAGACTTCGAATCGTCCCACCTTTCGAAAGTCAATTAAAGCGTCGCTTGTAACGCGAGACTTACTTTCCGGGCCGTCTAATGGTACACTCTCCTTGACCGAAAAAGGAAAGCCCGCGCGACAACGTCGTGTTTTCTTAATCACTTCACCCACGACCCAAATTTCATCCTCAGACCCTCGAAGCAGCGCGAAATTCCCTTTTCTTCAAGTTTTAATATATAAAGGGTGGAGTCATAGACTGCATTATTTCTTAACCCTTCGAATAATGGGGATGAGGATGGCTCATAATTGGGTCGAAATACGTCCTGATGCAAGTATTTCGATAAATTTAGCACTACAGAATCAAAGCGCATCGAAGAACGATCGTTCGAAACAGGTTGGCCACGATTCTATCGTGGTCAAGGTCCGCTTCGAATTCAGGTCGACTCTGATCGAGCATCGTAGTCCTTAAAGGGTTGTTCCAAGGACGCGTTCCAAAGGATGAGCAACAGACTGGGCAAAGAATCCGATCTCCCTCTTGTTGTCCGAGTTGAACTGTTTACACGAGCTGATGTCATGCTTGCTCGATAAAGTAAGTACTTGCTGGATAAATAGGAACAGCAGGACCGGTTTTATTTAAACGAGCAACATCGTTGAGCTACTTTGAGGAAATGCTTACGAAATCAACGTCCATTTGCCTTGTTTCAGGTAAAACTAGGTCGACTCCTCTTTCGACGAATAGATCTATCTTCGATGACGAATTTTTATTTTCGACGGGACAGGTTCCTTTTCGGATTGTTCAACTTTGAAAGGTAAAAAGGAGCAAAAGAGCATCGAGTATGGCGCTTTAAAAACACCAGTCATCGTCATTGTATCATAATTCCAGCAACAAAATGAGAGGTAGAGAAGATTTATGAAAAGCAGACTGGTCGTTTAGCATGGAAATCGGAATAAAGCCGTCCCTGTTCGCTTTGAAATTCCTCAGTCGCTTTGATCTTTCTTTCATACCTCGGAAACACGCTATATCTCGGTACAACGACCTAACTTTTCGAGCTTGCATAATCATATTACTAGATTTTTATTACGTACATACTGAAAATTTATTTTTTCCCACTTCCTGCAAACGATTCGGGAATTTCGAAAAATGATGACCTCGTTTAAATTCAAATTAAAACTAATCAAGGGAGGTAAGCGATCGTGTAAATGGAATAAAAATTGCAACGAGCAACGTTGTTCGAGGCTCATAATGGTAAAACATTATTCGAAGCCGTGGTCGCGGTGTGACGAGCACCGTAAACTTATTTTTGGTGCCGGTTATTTCCGTCCAGGTCGACGGGAACACCGGCCAGAGAAGAAACTTGAACGCACGCATGCCTCGAAGAAAATTCTGGCTCCGGTATTCTGCGTAAATTCTTCGAGATACGAGAACCTTCTTTCCTCTTCGATGGAAAAAATACCAGAAATTGTAACCAGAATATTTGAGTATAAAAAACTTGAACCCTTTGAAATGATTGCAATTACAGTTTTGTGAATTTAGGGGAAGATTTTCTTGAACGACAAGCAAAAAATCTGGCTAGGGTCGCAATTACCAAGACGCGCGATACTTTAAAGTAACAAGAATTGCCCTTACGCCGGTGAAGCCAACTTCCTGCCGGAAGTGACGTAATAAGAGCAATTAGAATGTTCCACGTCGCTCATAAAGAGCTGTCGAGAGTAGCAGTAAAGCGGCATAAAATTCTGGCCAACTTCCTGTTTATCATTCCAGTTATATACTCGAGATATACTATTCGAAACCTTAAAAAATCATATTATTTATACCTTGAAAGAAGAAATGAAATTGAGCTTTAACCGCGAGAAAATATGGTAATTTTGCAATAACACAAGCGCCATACGCCCGTATATATACGACGTCGATTGCGTAAAAAGCTGGACCAGTTTCGACCGGTGCCAAGTTGTGCAACAGCTAGACGAGCGAAATATGTGCATACCGCGATGAATCAAGCATCATAATTTCACGTAAACCGCGAAGAGCATCGTCTGAAAGAAGGTCGCATGCCAATTGTCTTTCCGGTCCAATTCGTTGATGTGTTACTAATTAAAACGTTGCTTCCATTGTTTTAATTCGAATTTTGCTAACTAGCCTCGAGATCAGAAACACGTCTACAACATCGTAGATGCCTGAGGTAATTGGCAATCGACTATCTTCCTTTCTCGAACGAAAAGAGAAAGAGTACTTACCAACAGTTTATTGTCCACGGTCTTGACAACAATTTCCTCTGGGGTGTACTGAGAGACGTCGAATCGGAGCTTCAACATTTTACTGTCGCCTTCATCTTGGATCAGAGGGCTGTTCAAACCGTCCAACCAGGCCGAGTCGTGCTGAGGGCTCAGAGAACTGTTCTGAGTGCTCGTGGTGGTGCTGAAAGGTACAAGAACAAAACCAGAAATTAACGAAAATATTCGAACGATCGAGACGCGTTATCGGGACAGGTGCGCGCTAAAACGATGAACGAAAAAGAACGATGACGACGATTGTAAAAAAAAAAAAAAAAAAATATACAAATACAAAATGAAAGAGGAACGTGTCTCTCTAGATTCAGACTAGCGTTCGCCTACGGGTGACCTATCATAGGTGCACGGTTTCCGAGAGCCTTACCTACGGTGATGATGATGCAACGAGAGGAACAACATTGAAACTGGTCACGATGAAGAAACTAAAAATCGTGCTTAACTACGTGACTTAAACGCTAAAATTAAATGCCACAAAACTGCTGCAAGCGTCGCTACCGTGTGTATATAATGCATGAGCTGGTTAATCGCTTCACCAAGGGGTTAATTAACAACGTAATACCGTTTACCTTCTTTTTTTTTTTTACAGTGCTTTCGATGGTGTCTGGAGGTTAGTGATAAACGTAGCTAAGGAAAAACATAATTTGAGTATCGAGGACTGTTTCGACGATGGTTCTGGTCTGCGTTCACTCCAGGGACAGATACGGAATTAGGGTCTAATTAAAATTAAAATTATCTTCCTGTCAAAATTTAAGCCCCATTCCGCCTCTGGTTGACTCGATAAAATTACATCAATTTTTTCTTTCTTACTAATTACAACCAATTTTCGCTACCAGACCATCGTCTTCGAGTAACAACACGAGGGACATACAGGACGTGTACTAATTTTGATCGTGACTTGTGCAATGTGATAATTGAAAGAAAAAAGAAAAAGAAAGAGGTAGTCGAGAGTGGTTCTGGAGAATCAAGGAGAAGATTCGCTGTTGTGTCTGTTTTTTTTTTTTTTTTTTTTTTTTTTTTCAGTAGCGTCACCTTTTGAAGCTGTCGAATGCGGACCGCTTTGGCGGTGCTGCAGGATCGACCTTGTCCCAACCTTCGGTCTTCGAGGTCGTCGATGTACGGTGTTCGCTGGAGCTCGTGTGATGTCGACTTCAAGTTAGTCACCAACGTGCCAATGCAGAGAGCCAATCAGAAGGCGAGACAGAAGTCGAGCAAGGGAGGTAACAGGGGATCATTATTACTTTTGTTAACTTTGCTTTGGTTAGTGTCTTTCGATCGCAGTTTCATCTCAAACTCGCTAAGGACACTCGATTTCTTTTTTTTCTTTTTCTTTTAGAAAATCTCACCGTTCCTTGGCGCCAAATCTCTGTAAGCATCGATTAACCCGCTCGGGAAATTGAATTATACATAAAAAAATGATTCCTTCGCAATGATTTAGCGCCAAGAATCAGTGCATTCGAGAGGTGTTCCAAAGAAGGTCCATTCCCAGGATAAAAGTAAGAAACTTTCCTCCGTATTTACAAGTAAGAGAGGTTTAATAGCGTATCCCCTTTAGTAATTTTAACACGTTCCGTAACACTCGATGATTAACATTGCTCCAAAAATAATCCTGATATTCTTAAAATGATCGTGAACCATCGTTGCCACGAAACGTGTTGATAAAATTATTAATATTTCGCGATATATCTGTTCGTTAACGCTCCACGTCGTTACAGGTTACACGATGTTACATCACTCGGCAATTTATTAATTAAATAGGCTAAAAACCAACTTGTCCGCATCATGCCAATTAGCCGTATTAAAATTATTTTGATAAGCCAGCAACCGGTCATCGTTCACCCGCGACAATTCTCAACATCCTGGGAGAAAGATCTCAAAAATGTTGCGTATTTGAAAAAGGAAAACAGATCCCAGCCTTAACTTAAATAAAACTAACGATAACATTTTGTCGGATAGACAACCTCTGCTCGATCGATGCTGCACTAATTACCCTAATTAATGCAATCAAGCCAGCACGAATCAAGTTAAATTAATTTGACACACATTGTTATTTATAGTAAGAGAAGTCGACGCGTTAGATTTACTTGCGGTCTGTCGTTGTTTATAATAAGAGAGGAGTACAAAGCGTCATTGTACTGCAAGTTTCACGAAACCGATAACCGGAAGTCACGACTGTTCTTCGGGGAGGTCGACGACCCGGGGGATTCTAAAATAGTGCATACAGTTGTGTCACGTTGTATCGGGGCTCGAAACGAACCTTCTAGCTTTGGCTCTGGGTATAAAGTTTTCCCGAAGCTTCGCGGTTCCTGAAATTTTACCGTCAAGCGTATTCGAAGAACGATTCTTGCAAAATATCTATTTAAAATTACACAAAAGATGAAAGGAGAGGAGTTTAATCGAGTGCGCGAAGCGATTGGTCAACAAAAGACGAGAAACTTAAAGGGAGAACAAGTTGAAAAGAGTCGTTTCTCTTCGGGTGGTCTCTTTCACACGGAACAAAAGCGAAGGCATATCGAGAAGATCGCGATGTCTGTCAAAATGTCTTTCAGTGTATAAACGTGAGGGAAGTGTTTGCGAAAGAGCGAAGAAAAGCGAGAGGTATAGAATGCGGTAGACAACAATTATTCCAGTCAGGAGAAAGGTCCTATCTTTGCCTGGAGAAGTCACGAGAGGTCGAGCATGCCAAGGAGAAGGATCTTGGGGGCGAAGCTGGAACTGTCGGAGCTGAAAAGGTCACGGTATTCTAAACGCTCTAACATTGCGGAACTGGATTTATCAGGTATAAGAGGATGTCTCGTGTCTAACAATAAGTCTAATTCCTGTTGACATAATAGCGACAGGAGGACATCTAATTTATCCTTGGCTACGTTTCAACGAATAGCCTTATGAATTTCACGGTATGGAATGTAAAGTAAATCAATTTATATTTGGCCTAGAAACGACCCTCGAACGTAAAACAAAAAATCAATGACTACCGATAGATCGATCGCCTATTCCTCGATAATAACTATTATAATGTTGTCGCGCGTGGAGATGCGATCTAACGGATGCAACAATTACATCTGACTCTTATTTTCTCGTTAACGACCAGTCAATCGCATAATTCAATCACGAGAAACAAAGTGAAACGCAGACGAGCTGCATAAAGGCTATAAATAAACTCAGACACCTCTGCAACTAATCCAACGACTAGAGAACCGCCTTCGATAAACTAAGGAATATTAGCCACGAGTCGAATCATTTGCATGTGCACTTTATACTTTATACATACTTGGAATGTGAAGCTGCTTAATAATCTCCGAGAAAAAGAGAACAGCTAACGTAGCAGCGATAGAGTGTAAGTGGACATAAATCTAGGTGGCTAAACTGCTCACCTATAAAGTTTCGAGCATCGATTCGACACACTGCTCGTACAAAGAGAGAGTAACGTGTTACACGCTACCTGGCAGATTAATTTCCTGCCGTTCTGTTCGAGTTCAACACGAGCCAAACAACTTGGATGTCTTGCTAATCTGTTACGAGCAACGCGATCAAACGTATCGCCTAATTTCCATGAAATGTTACGTTCAATTAATTTGATGCAAACCCCTACGTTATAAATACGTGCCTTTGAAGCTTCGAAGCTTTGCATCGGCAATTATCATTCATTATTTTAAGCTTTGCCCAAGAATTCTGACTGATAACATTAATATATTCAGCTCGATTGGTATTCAGCGTAAATTGAGCGCTGATAAAAGAAAATAAAAGAACAATACCGCGTTCCATTTCGAAGTCATCTGTCAGCCTGAAAGAATCCAAGCGATTCGGAGCCAATCGAACGAGCGAGAAAAATCGAACAGAGTGAAACTGAAAGAAAAATGTCGAAACGATTCGCGTTGTTTCGAACTGACTCATCCCGTAAGCGTACTAGAAAACATTTTCGAAAGAAGCTTGCGAGAACATTTATTTCGAACGATACTTGTCTATTTGTAGCGAACCGTCCCTGAACAACCATTACGTCACTACCACCAGAGTCCTCGGACTTCGTAATGGTCCATATTTGCCTCCCACGAATCGATCCGCGATTCGTGATCGATTCACGACACCTGTCTGCTTTAACGGCGCCTTTGTGCGAATGGAATTCGAACGATTTCAAAATCGCCAACTGAACTGACGAGACTAGCTTCTTGGAAGGGTTTCAATGGACCACTGAAACGACCGGACGGAGCCTTCTTCCACGCTTTTAACCGAATTAAACGTTAACTCAACTCGTTTTCTTAAGAGTTTTCTTACGTAGAACAGAAAATGAAATGAAGAGTGTAAAATGAATGAATGGAAAAGCTTGGGAACGGCGATTCTCCTATTTCGTCCTCTATTTCAGCCAATTGAAACCATTCTACCTACCGCAGCTTGATCACCGTTTTGTGTTCCGCCGGAAATACATCCCGATCGACGATCATGTTTGTATCGAGAGTAAAGCGAAGGAAGATCCTTCGATTCAGGAAGAGAGAAAAATCACTACCGTGTTGCTTTGAAGAAGAGATAAAAATTACTGCGTAAAACGTTGCTGCAGGGTTGCCGCAAGCTCCTCACCTTTTCTGCGCGTTGCAATTGCAATTTAGTGCACGATTCCGAGTGGGGATCGCGCAATGTGTCACTGTCAAGGATGGATTGACGTAATAGTCGTTTATATCTTGCAAGCACGTTCCTGCTGGAGAACGATAGGTATCGATGATCTTTGGATCTCATTACATAACAAGACTACCAAATTTGAATTTCATTTCCGCGCTATTATTGCTATTAATATCGTGTGCTATTTTTACTCATTTCTGTTTAATATGGAACACTTTTAGTAAATATTGCAATTAAATTGCGACGGATTAATGTAACGAATGAATCTCAAGTTGGATGTACTCGAATGAGGACGTGGACTGAAATGACTTAATCACGGAAGTGCAAAAGAATGTCGGGACAGAATCCTCCTGTTCGATGACACGCCATCGCGAAGCATTTGACGAGATTACAGGAAGAAGAGCGTTCTTTGTCGGCGCAACAAGTCGCGTTAAACGACAGCCTATTATGCAATGTATCATTCCAACAAATGACGACGGTTATTCGTCATTTACATAATAATTGTCATTTCGAACTCGAAAAGTTTGCCTCTAACAATTCGATGCTCGAACTACGGTGAATCGAAAAGCGATCGTCGCGATAATATCTGAGAAATTTCGAAATTCATCGTAAATTTGAAACGACCCAAATTCTGCCTCTGCCAAGATGAACTCGAATCCGTAGAATTTACTCGAGGCTACCTCCGTTCGTTGCTACCGATAAAATTTATCGAACAGAGGGGTTGAACGTATCCCCAAGGTAGATAAGGAGGGTTCTCCAAAATTTATGTTCGAGGGTGAAAAGTTTCGAGCACGGTATCGGGTGAAACTTTCTTTGATAAAAATACCAAAAGCTACGTCTTTTATTATTTTTTAAATTTACAATAAGACGCGTCTACGTATTCTATGTTGAACAATATTATAAATTAAAAAATAATAAAAGTTTCAAGGACCCTGAAGACGGAACCGAAAGAATGCGAGAGAAGAGGGCGAGTAAAAGAGTAGCAGGTGCAAAATTTTCGTCGGTCGAAAATTTGTTTTTCGTTTACCCCCCGGCAAGAAACAGCTCGCCGAGGGGTCTCACGCGTGTTCCTCGCACCGAACGCACTGACGAAACCTCTATAAATAGCGGATACGTTACTGAAATACGTGAAACGAATATACATATGCATGCACGCGTGAAAAAGGCTCAGACGTGACCTTAATTTGCGTTCCTACCTCGCTCTCCACAGATCCTTTCGATATCTTGCAATAATATATTACGTTTCTCCGTAAAATACGTGAAAAATAAATTTTTATAAAATAAAAACCTTTTATTTAATACGAAATAACCAAATAAAATTTATGCGAAATTTAAGTGCCTAGTCTGCCTGCAGCTAGAGACGACACTGAGGGTAGCCATCGCTTTCCGGAATTCAAATGCAAACATTCCTTTCTCAAACAATACCAAAGATGTACCCTTTCATATGCACAGACGTTTCTAAAAGTGTTGCGGAATAAAACATGCTTGTGTCGTTCGTTGAAGTGACTACACTGTTATGCTAATTTGCGGTAAAAATCAACAAGCCTTGTGCAACAGCACAAACATCGATCCGAGAAAAACTGTACGTGTAAAAATGGCGGCTGTTGTGCCTCCCGCGCAATGGGATTCATTTTTACCGTTTGTCGATCGATCTCAAACGATCAACGACTTGCATTCGACATCAGTTTCATTATGACGTGAACGAAAAAGATTATATTGTTTTCCTTTTTAAATTATCATCGTATGTGACGATCAATGATTAAATTGATTTTATCGGTCGATACAAAAGATAACCTCCCATTTAAGACAGTCACGTGACCTTCGTTATTGAAACAATAATCTCCGATGTATAACATTTTGACACGAATAATCCCTTTGTTTTTTAAGTACAGCATCGATCGAATTCTTTTGTTTCATCATGATTTAACTTATAAAATCTAATAAATGTCTAAAATACTCTTTGACGAAATAAAACGAGTATGTACTTCCTTCAAACTAACTGCTACAATATCTTGTATACAGATTCTCTTTACCTGATATTTGCGACGAATTTTGCTTTCATCATGCTAGTTTATACTATTCCAGAACGAAGGACACTGTCTATTCGAAATCGAGAGGTTTATGTAAACAAACGTTTCTAGAATAACTTCAAAATAAATAGCAGCACCTGTACCCGATCGGAAGACAAAAGTAAACTTTGCATTTTAATTTATCAGCCAAAATACACAACTAATATTTGTGATTGTAAATGATAACTGATTTAAATGACATTTGACTTGTACTCTATCGAAAGATCATCGCAAACAAGAGGCAAAAGAATAATCGTGCCGGTGGTGCGCAGATTAAAAAGGTTAGGTGCGTCTCGAACAAACGCCGGTAGTATGTATAACCAACGTACCTGGTTGTGCTCTTAAAGAAGTTGTTGCTTTCGCGATTCATCAACTCGCTACGGAATCGTGACATCTCGTCCTCCATCTTTTTCATCTCGGCGTCAAAGCGTTCGCGGATGTTGGAAAATTCGGTGTCGATCACGCTGAAGTCACCCAGCTTGATGGGAATATTACGCTTGATACCACTGTCAGCCATGATTTCTGCTTTGACCACACTCGTGTCCCTTTCACCAAGCCACTAAAGAGGTATTCTCTTGTATACCGATAGCACTGCTCTCGCGAACGATCGCTTTTGATATATATTACGAATAACTCGGTCACGTTTAACCGTGCTGCACAACGTCCCGCCTAAGAATGAGCGCGGCTCACCGACTGCTCCTTAAATAGTCGCGTCGCAATCGGCCGGCCGCTCGTAGGAGTTCGTCCATGTTCGGCCACCTTCGGGCGGACTCGGATCTCGTGCACGCGGTTCAAACCTAATTCAAAATTCAAACGAATATCATGATTTATGAATATTTTAATTCAAATTTTAATGATATTTTACAAAATATATGGATCAAAATAATTGATTATGATGTAAATTGTTTATTACTGGAATCAAAACGAATAAATTAACTGAAATGGTAGCTCTAATAATATTATAAATTAAAAACTTCTCGAACCCTCGTTTTGTAACATTTGCATAAAGTAACATATAAGGTAATTGTTCACAGGTGCCAATAACGTTCAAAGTTTTTGAATAAACATGTGATTTAAGAAGAAATAGTGGGCGTCTGTAGGTTACGATTTAACAGACAAGACGAATGAATCTATTCTATACGAGAAACGATGACTAATACGCGGCTATACGATCATTTCCTTAATGATTATCTTTCTCAAAGATGTACATACGCGTATGCATGTGAGATTTTATTTCCACTGGTATCCGATTTCGAAAAATTTCATTTGCAGTGACCAACGTGAAGGATGATCTCACCTACTGGGAGATCACTGTTAAGTAATAACATTTTTACAGGACTGTTCTTTCGGTTTCGATCTTGTATACGATTAATGGTTATCATCTTATGCAAGCTTGTAGGATTTAATCGCGAATGATCGTTCGACTTTCACGATATTAATCAGCTAATTAGATTACACGGAGTATTAAGAGTTTGATGAAGTTAACAACGTTCATAAAAAATGCCGAGACCTCAATTACCATGACAATGCAATTATGAAGAACCGTTTTCATTGAAATTAGCCAATCATCAGTTGTCCCTGATTAGCATTTCAAATAAGATTGAAATAAAATTTTGAACAATTGGTCATTTCGTAAAAATAGAACTATAACAAAAAGAACATTGCTGAGGGTATTATTAATTGGTATTTTTAGTACAAAATAAAACTATACATAGAGTAAACAACAAACTGCTGCCAATTTTCTCAAGAATCATTACAAGTAAATACAGACTTCTTTGACTCATTGTCAAACTTGTATTAAATTGTTGCAGACGAACTTATTCATAAAACGTGGTTCTATAAACCTATATTTCACAAAGTCGTGGTTGTTTATTTGATTAATCAAAACGATCCACTTTGTAAACGGTTCATTTTCTTTAGACTTCAAGCTTTAGCGATAATTTTATGTCATTGAATCGTGTCAGAAGCCTACGTTTCAAAGTGGACCATTCGGTATGCAGCGACCTAATAAAATAATCTTTTTTATTGCGAACCTGTGCAGAAATAAATGATCCCATAAATCAAACAATACATTGTTGCTACACGAAATATCAGAAAAGAATGTTGTCAATGTCTTTAATCGTGTTCGCATAAATTTGGAAGCTTTGCTGAAAATCATCTTCCAACGAAAAATCCCGATCATTTGTTGCCTTTAACATATTATCGCGCCACGTTTGCGTGGCGATAATTCACATTTTATTTCGTATCCAGTTCGCGGCATTGCCGGCGATTACGGGTCGGTATGTACATTCTTGTTAATCAGGCGCGAACATTCAGGTGTTCTAATTTGGACACGCATTCAGAGAAGCGCGAAGGCCGCGCATACAACTACATAACTTTCTGTTTACGTCGCGAGAACTGCGTGAGAATTTTTTTCTTCTTCTTCGTCGCCGCTTTAAATCAAGTTGCAAATGATGCCGACGCTATTTTCGCGCGGTTGCAGCGTCACGCACACGCTTCAACTGAATGGAGCACCGCGTCACGACGCCTCCTTATTGTTCATAAATAGTCCTGCTTGCCCGCCCTCGTCAACCATTTCCGGTGAATCAAACCGTGTGGAATGTTTCCCCGAGGTTCGTGTAAGAGAGTAATCGGGGGTGGCGGATGCCAGCAGAGGGTTGAATCACACCCTCGTCGGAAAAGCTTACGGAATAACTATGCATAACGCGTTTTCTCATGTTTTACCTGGATGAATAATTTTGCGATTCGTGGAAAAGTCTTTTAGAGGATATGATTCAATTTTTCCTTTTCTATTCAAAATAAAAGCGTCGAAAATTAAAGAGAAATTGCGAAATCCACCATCCAATTACTCTGATCGTAAAAGAAGGATGACGCTGCGGTGGTCGACATTGAAATTTATCGCAGCAAAGTGCAGAAGCAAATAGAAGAGAAAAGTGGTCAAGACTGTTGAGATTCATGATAAAGTGTGTCAATGTCATACTGTCCATTCCTCCAGACAACGTCTCCAGTCCTTTTTCTACGATCGATTTGTTTCTTCCCCGTGTTTCTCTTAAACGAACACGGAATTCTTAAGTTCCCTCTCGCTCAACTCTGCGTGGGTGAACACGACCAACATGACGTCACCTTTGCGGGGGTTTCACTGATCGATAAAACGCGTCACAATGGGCCCTAATATGGATTGGACCTACACTCATTACGTAGCAAATTGTCGATACACGCGTTAAAATGTTTTTCTTCTGAAATATATATGTTGCTTTATAATAACTACATTGTTAAGTTCGATAGACAAGAGAGAGGAATGCAATATCGTTTGCCAGGCAAATGATGTATATGTAGCACGGTATGCTGAAGAAAACAACTAAACTCGAGTTGTAGAAAAGATAGTAGCTCTACGCTACGAGCCACCAACTATTATTAGCTGACAAAATAGTAGCATCCGAGGCCAGATTCGACCGAAGGAATTCTTTAACCATTCGACCCCTTCGACCGTCATTCTTCAACAATTCAATGTCGAGGGTACGATCCAATCTTACATTGTGTCTTCGTCATTCTTTGAATTAATTGTCAATTTTACCCATGTTTTAGATCAACTGGTCTTTCTCCTACTTTTAGGTAGAAAAAGTATATCTTGATGACATGGTCGAATCTAACTCTGGCGTGGTACTTAAGGGTTAAAAGTGCATTCATTCAATGTTTCGTTACCAACCGGACAATGAACATTTAATGGTCATTCGTATACTTGGCTTACTTAGAACGATTCAATGAAGAGATGGTGTCGTACGACGACTTCGCATCGCTACCACTGACTTGAGTACAAATGGGATACGAGGTTAACGCGCCGTGATGTCATTCTGTGATATCATAGAGTTCATCCAAAGAATTTAACAAAATTGTTGGTCTCAAGATTGCCTGGATCGTCTGGACTTAAATCTGCTTATGACTTAATGTGTACGGTTATACTTAACGCTTGTGCAATCGTATAAGCTGAAGAAAACAGAAGGATCCAAGTAAACATCATGACGTTTAAAAGGTTTGCTTCGATTTTAATTATTATTATCTTATCTTCCTCAACGAACTGGAGGTCGCTTGACCAAATGATTCACCCAATCATCTTTCGCCGTGATATTGTTTCTTGATTAGTTACATGTTATCATCCAATTTTCAACTACTACTGTGCAAAACCGTGAAACACGATACTAACCGGATTATTGTAACATTCGCGCTACGTGGGTTTGCAACTCGATCCGGCTGCAACTACTTATAGCATTCGTGCACATTTCTAATTGCTACTTAAACGATATATGTACCTCGAATAAATTTTTAATATCTACGCTACTGTTTTGATCGTATCATAATTTTTTTGATCGCGTTGGATCAATCAGACCTGCGAATATTTCAAAGTCGACGACCGAACCGACAAGACAAAGACCTTGCGTATATTCAGAGTTTTACTAAGTTTAAGATTAATTGGCAATCAGATTAACATTAGATCATTTTAATCCACGTGCGTAAAGAAATGTCATTACACGCAAGTAAATGCGGTGGTGGCCAATGTCACTGCCAGGAATAAATCAGACAATACGTAATGCGATGACAAGTGGTCGTAATATACTGAACTAATTGTGCAATTACCATTTCTGTAACGGTGTTAATAATACTACTTTTAATAGCGTTAAGGGTGAATTTGGTAAAATGATTGCATTATTGCCGCTATTTTATTATGGTAAATGTTACTAAATTTATAACAATAATATCATCATAAACACGAGTGTGCAATCATTCTATCAATCATAAAAAAATACCGCTTCAAGTTAGTACATAACTGCACATTAAGTAGAGAGAATTGCATTTGAATTACCGTCACTTGACGCGCTACTTGATTGATCTTAACCTCCCCCTTGCGTTAACTCGCGGTACTACGTTAACATGCCCTGAAGATTATCAACAATTATGAAGAATCAAATAAAGAATTTGTCTAACGGAAAACAATCAGAAAAAGTGGACAATGTAAAGAAACCGTTTAATAAAAAGAAATATAGGATACAAAAGTACAGCAATGAATATAAGAGTACGTTTTCAAATTACGCAAGTAACGTAATTTATAGGTTAAGTTTCTTGAAGGTTATTAAATGTTATTTTTTAATTATATTATTTTTGACAGTTAATCAATGGGAAGAACGTAGAAAGAAGGCAATCTTACGAAATTTGCACAAGGAACTAGACAAAGACCAGCAGCAAAATTTAAAAAAACCACTTCCATTGAAAAGCAATGATCAGGAAGAAAATGCTGAAGAGTTTGTACATTAATACTAACACTTTACATGAGAAACAATAATAAAAAGTCTTACTAATCGTTTTCTTTCTTAAAGGAAAAAACTGAAGCAGAAGGATGCATTTAAGAAGGCTAAACAGGAATTCTTACGTAAGAGAGATGAGAAAAGGAAACAGGTGGAAGAAGCACTTAGAGTGAAATCTGAGCGAGAGGAGGCACTCAAGAAATATAAAGAGAAAAAAATGCAAGCTTATAAGAAACTTTCAAAGCACACAAAAAGAGGACAACCTGTAATGAAGGATAGATTGGAACTGTTGTTGGAAAAAGTACAGCAACAGGTTTCAAAATAATACTATGAAAAAATGACAGTGCTAAACTATATACACTCTTTGTTTTATCTGTTATCAATGCATATGTACTAATAACCTGAGAATTTGAATAAATTATTTTTTATTATAAAATGAATTGTATTTATTATTTAATAAAAGAGGTGCACTTAAATTAAGTACTTTGAGTTAAATAGTCGCTCAAAAACTTGAGTAATTATATTTGTGGCTAACGAACGCATAACAAAGTAACGCGTAAGATTTATTTCAATTATAAAACAGTGAAATCGTAAGAATAAACGATCGATGAAACGCATTCGATTCGAAATACGAATTTGCCCGCGCATTGTTAAAAGCGCAGACGCAATGGCATTTGACGGGCAGCCGTCAGCTAGTCAGCGGTTGCAAATGGCGACAGCCACGAAATCTCTGGCACCGACTCGCGAATAGTTTCACGCCTACCGAGTATTGCGTGACCGAGCTGTGCGTGAACGTTACCCTAACCCAGATCGGTATGTACTTAAAACTGCCACGTTAAAAATCCACACGTATAATGAATAACCTTTTTCCTCAGAAAACGTAGTTGCACTCGTTGCAGTCGCCTCCCGTGCGACAGGTCATCAGAGACAAAAAGCTGCTATTCGCTCAACCAATCCTTTCCAAAATATCCGTTTTGCACAAAAAATCGATACAGTACGAGTTCCGATTGATTTCTTAATAATTGTTACCATAGTTCGTTGACATAATTCTAAAAATTTCTATGTAATGGGAGCCACTATCAGGCGTTTGCACGGCACTGCTGTCAAAAAGTGTTTGCCGTCGGAATCTAGGACGCGGTACCGGCTTAATCGCTCGATTTTCCTTTCGACCGTCAGAATAGACCTTTGATTCGCATGTTCTTCCTTATCAGTTAATACCGTTGATATATACTCTGCCAATTTTGCGGGATGATACTGTACTGAAATGTAGCATACCGTGTTCTGTTTCAAAGTTACTTTCTGGACTGAAGGGCTCGTTGCTTTGAGTACTCTTAATCAACGAATATCGTTTAGATCGTTTTCTTGAGCTCCCCCCTATACATCTACTGCATGTCATTAAATAACCATGCGTATTTGCCAGTCTATAAATAAATTTATGAATTAACCCTTAAACAGTGACATGAGGGTTTCATTGACCTCTCTAAATTTTATTTTACATTCATTTTTATCAATTATAATTTTATAAAGATAAATACTTATTTATATTACAGTAATTAGTAATATCTAATACTTTTTATACAAGTATTTAAATGATTAATAATAAAGTTTAAATGTTATCAAAATTGTAATTTATCAATTAAAGTCTAAGAAAAGCTAATTCAAGTTTCAATATATAAATTGAGATTTTTTTTAACCGTATAAATGAATGTAATTTATTTCACAGGTGGTTTTAACTAAAACGAGACAAGATGCCGGCTGTAAGAGGAGATGGCATGCGTGGACTAGCTGTATTCATTTCTGATATTAGAAATTGTAAGTATAAATATGTTCTTTTCATTATTAAATTAGTTTTATACTCTATTTGGAAGCATTAAATCATCTTTTATTTTAATTGGAATGTTCAACTATATCTTGCTGGCAATAGATAAACAAGGAGTATAAGTTAGCTTTTGAATCATTGTAATTTTGAGCCACGTTTCATTAAGAGATATGCTGCCATTGAAACTAGAGTGACATGCTGAGTATTTAAAGCAGAGAAGAGTAGGAGACAGGGGGCGGAGTTCTGATATAAACCTATCTGTCTGATATAGCTTGACTTTTACACACTAATATGTAATACTTGGCATAATATAATAAATGACTACCAAAACTGATACCCTTGATTTTTTTGAGAAATTTATATGAAATAGAATATTGTAACATATACATATTATATTTATTTAGTATTTCTGTAATTTGATGTAATAAATAAAATCATAAAAAAGTAGGATAAGAGATTGACTTTTATAGAGCAAAATCAATACATGTAAGCTTTGATGCCAGTCCAAGTGGCATGTGGCCATTATTGTTTTCTATAAAAACTGTTGACAAATGTAGCTGTGTATATTATACATATGTAAATGTAAATATATAATTCCACAAATAATGATTTGGTATTTTCCCTTATTCATAAAAATATATAAACTTTAACAGGTAAAAGCAAAGAAGCAGAGATTAAGAGAATAAACAAAGAGTTGGCAAATATTCGCAGTAAATTTAAAGGAGATAAAACGCTTGATGGTTACCAAAAAAAGAAATATGTTTGCAAACTCCTTTTTATTTTTCTGCTTGGGCATGATATTGATTTTGGGCATATGGAGGCTGTTAATTTACTCTCATCTAACAAGTATTCAGAAAAACAGATTGTAAGTACATATAGTATACTCAACACCTGCACCTTAATTAATTACAACTATTGTTATCTTCTATGTAACAATTCCAGGGTTACCTTTTTATATCAGTCTTAGTAAATACAAATAGTGATCTCATTAAGTTGATAATTCAGAGTATAAAGAACGATCTTGCATCGCGTAATCCGATTCACGTAAATCTAGCATTACAATGTATTGCCAATATTGGAAGTAAGGAAATGGCAGAGGCATTTGGTAATGAAATACCAAAACTACTTGTATCTGGGTAAGTTTCAATAGTAAGTAGCATAATGAAAACTGCTTGCAAAATTATTATGTAATATTTTTTGCATTTCAGAGATACTATGGATGTAGTAAAACAAAGCGCAGCGCTATGTTTGTTACGATTATTACGTACTGCACCAGATGTAGTTCCTGGCGGAGAATGGACTTCGCGTATAGTACATCTTTTAAACGATCAACATCTTGGTGTTGTGACTGCGGCAGCATCTCTAATAGATGCTCTCGTGAAAAGAAATCCGGATGAGTACAAAGGATGTGTCAGTTTAGCAGTTTCACGATTGAGCAGGGTATGATATAATTTGTTAATTCGGCCCGACGGACGCAAGATAGTTCTTTGATCTTTGTTCTATCTCGTTAGATTGTCACGTCGAGCTACACAGACCTACAGGATTATACATATTATTTTGTACCAGCACCGTGGCTTTCTGTTAAGTTACTACGATTACTACAGAATTATACCCCACCTGGTAATGAACCTATATTTGCAAAGAGCCTAAACTGAAATAACAGTAATAAACTTACCAGTTTTCTGTTTAGGTTCTTATATTACAGTAATTTAAATCGATGCAATAATTACATTTCGATCGTAAATTTTCAACAGCTGAGGATCCAGGTGTAAGGGGTAGACTGAACGAGTGTTTAGAAACTATATTGAATAAAGCTCAAGAACCACCAAAATCGAAGAAAGTGCAACACTCCAATGCAAAGAATGCTGTATTGTTCGAAGCTATTAGTTTAATTATTCACAATGATAGTGAACTGCCTTTATCGGTTAGAGCATGCAATCAGCTCGGTCAGTTTCTATCGAACCGTGAGACTAATCTTCGCTACTTAGCGCTTGAATCTATGTGTCACCTAGCCACATCGGAACTCTCTCACGAAGCGGTGAAAAAACATCAGGAAGTTGTTATCCTTTCCATGAAGATGGAAAAAGATGTGTCTGTTAGACAACAGGCTGTGGATCTTTTATACGCCATGTGTGATAAGAGTAACGCAGAAGAAATAGTACAAGAAATGCTAAACTACCTCGAAACTGCTGATTACTCGATTAGAGAAGAGATGGTTCTTAAGGTTGCCATTCTAGCTGAGAAGTATGCTACCGATTACACTTGGTACGTTGACGTCATTTTGAATCTCATCAGGATAGCTGGTGATTACGTTTCGGAAGAAGTATGGTACAGAGTTATCCAGATTGTTATCAACAGAGATGATGTACAAGGATACGCAGCAAAAATGGTTTTCGAGGTAAATTACGCTAGTGATTAAAATCATTAAGTCTTAGAATTAATCAATTTATCTTGCATATTTATAACATCCGTTAGGCCTTACAAGCACCAGCTTGTCATGAAAATATGGTTAAAGTTGGTGGTTATATACTTGGAGAATTTGGAAATCTAATTGCCGGTGATCAACGCTCTTCTCCAGCCGTTCAGTTTCAATTATTACATTCCAAAGTAAATTTTTTTCTATTATCTATTTAACAACTTGCATGAAAATACAATTACACTAATCTCTTTTATTTTTAGTATCATTTATGTTCCCCAATGACTCGAGCGTTGTTATTATCAACGTACATCAAATTTGTTAATTTGTTCCCGGAAATGAGAAGTCAAATTCAAGACGTTTTCAGACAACATAGTAATTTGCGTAGCGCAGATGCAGAGTTGCAACAGAGAGCTTCGGAATATCTTCAGTTGAGCATTATTGCCTCTAGCGATGTTTTGGTAAATATTATCAGAGATACAATCGCATACGATTATTGAAGTACAAAATTTCATGATTTCGGGTTAATCAATTTTGTTACAGGCTACAGTTCTGGAAGAAATGCCTGCATTCCCTGAAAGAGAATCTTCCATTCTCGCCGTTTTGAAAAAGAAGAAACCCGGGCGTGTACCCGAAAACGAAATTAGAGAAAGTAAAAGCCCTGCGCCAAATACTAATCATCATCCGGAAATACCTGCTACCGCGGCACCAACTGTTAACAATACATCAGCAGATTTGTTAGGTCTATCGACGCCACCGTCTTCTCAACCAACTAGCAACACAGGAGTTCTTCTAGATGTACTAGGAGATATTTATAACATGCCAAATAAAGTTGCTACCAATGGTGCCCAGAATACGTACAATCCGAAGAAGTTTGTTGATTAAAAAGAGTCAAATAGTTATTTATAATTCAAAGCAATGTTTCTAAAATTCATGTCTTTCAGATTCGTTTGCAAGAACAATGGTGTACTCTTTGAAAATGACTTGATCCAAATTGGAGTGAAATCGGAGTTCAGACAAAATTTGGGACGCGTAGGACTTTTCTATGGAAATAAAACTCAGTACGCTCTTCACAGTTTTCAACCTCAACTTTCCTGGTCTGAAGAGAATCAAGCGAAATTAGCTGTACAAGTAAAACCAGTCGATCCGGTGTTAGAAGCTGGTGCTCAAATTCAGCAAATGATTAATGCAGAATGTATCGACGACTACAGCGGTACAACAAGTTACATAACGTTTCTAGGAAAGACAGAATTATACGTTACTGATATTATATGTTTTCCTCTCTACAGATGCACCGAGCATGATCATCTCATTTATCTACAACAACGTGCCACAGAAAATAACAATGAAGTTACCATTAACGATTAATAAATTTTTCGAGCCAACGGAAATGAATGGAGAGTCATTCTTTGCACGATGGAAGAATCTCGGAGGGTATATAATATTTTATTTAAAAGAAAAACTAAATGTCGATGAAAGTGATTCAAAATGAATATTAAAGAACTATTTCCAGAGCAAATCAACAGCGTTCACAGAAGATCTTTAAAGCGCAACAGCCAATGGATCTTGCGCAAGTTCGCACGAAATTGCAAGGATTTGGAATGCAGTTACTTGATGGTATTGATCCAAATCCCGATAATTTTGTCTGCGCGGGTATAGTACATATGAGGGCACAACAAGTAGGATGCTTGTTACGTTTGGAACCAAACAAACAAGCGCAGGTAATTTATCAAGTTACGAATTTTTCATTGAACAAATTACGGATTTAACTAATGCTCCTATCCCATAGATGTTTCGTTTGACGGTACGTTCGAGTAAAGAATCAATGTCAGTAGAGATCTGTGACCTGCTGGTGGACCAATTTTAAACGGCCTAGCAGGCGTAAAAATTAATTTAAGATGTATTAAAAACGCCGTGGGAAGACATATCGTGATTTACAAAAAGAATGTCGTCTCTCGACGTTCAGAAAAGATACTGATGATTATTTGTTAAGAGATATTCGTTGTACCCAAGCTTACAATCACAGCGCGATCGTAAGAACTGAATTCATTATGTAGGCGAAGCGTTGTTACCATGTTGTAATCCTACCAAACAAAGCACAGGATTGTGGAGAATATGAACAAGATGAATTGTGTACATGAAAAACGAAAAACGAAAAAAAAAAAAGAACAAAAATACCAAACGGCATATATAATGACTAAGACGGACAATATTTAGTCCTCGAGCGAAGGTAACAAGTATATAGACATTATCCTGTTTCTTTTTCTTTCTTTTTTTTTTTTTAAATATGTGTCTTTAGTAAAAATTATGATTCGTAACTAAACCAATGACGTATAGCTGTTTGCCACGAGTATCTGTAAAAGGACATTCGAGTTACCGCAACATTACTAATGTACATTTTTTTACGAACCATTTTATAATCAATTATTTTTTGTCTACCAAATATTTTCGATTTTTTTTTATAGTAATTCCTTGTTATCTGCCCATACATTCACATACTCGTGGCACGTTCCCATCTGTATGCCATCTAGCTAATTTTTGTATGTACGAATTTTTGTTCGTACCGATTTCGTTTTTGAGATTATTATCATTGTTACGTGAGCGAGAGTAGATTTGGGCACGATGACAGTAGTTGTATGATATTAGTTGTTTATCGTAGAATTTCCTTGTATTTAACGGAGCTCAAAATTCCTCTTGTAATTAGTAGATTCGATATGATCGCTCCTGGTTCCCGATCCCTTACCCGCCATTCCGCTTATTCTACCCTTCTGATCCTGGATATTCTTTACCTCGGACGTTGGTGTATAAAATCCATGGCTGGTTAATGTTCATTGACTCGCATGAGAGGAGCGATTAAGTTCAGTGAGAGGTAAACAAGCAAAAAAAAAAAAAAACGTAAGAAATCATTAGAAGAATTTTTCTAATCGTCTTTAACGAGTCTTGTGTGAGATGTATATTCAGTAGTATATCTTGTACAGATGATGTTCACGAATGCGTTGGAGATTAATTATATGTTTCGTCGTAAGTGTTAAAGAAGAGAAAAAAAAAAAAAGGAGCAGCTCTGAGCGACATCTTAAGACGATATCACGCTTCACGATTATAACACTGTTACGTGGAAATTGTAAATCTCTAATTGAATTGTACATAAGAAATCCATTGATTAAAATGTACCGATAAGAAATCATTGCAGAAGAGACACAGAATCAAGTACTTGTAGGCGCGACGATCTGTAATATCGTTTGAATTTTTTTTCTCTCCTGCAGTTCTTTCATTTATAATTTCTTTATCATGCGAACACGAGATGTATGTATATTTTTTGTTTTTTTATGTTCGTATAGTATAAATTTATATTCAAAACTTTTCTTCTTATTCCCCCCCGTAATTCCTTTCATCGTGTATCATTCACCACAGCATGAATGGAAAACTTAGCATGTCTATTTTTGTTTCGTTTAAATATTTTTAGTGTTATCGACTTGTTCTTTGTAAGTGAAATTTTAAAGCTTAAAAGATAGTATGTTATAAGGATCTTAACTCTATAAATTGGTGCTAAAAATTTCAGTTCAAAGAACATGTTACTGATTCTTGCAAATTATTTATTTTTTTATGCTTTATTTAGACACAGAACACGCTGAAAGTATACTATTATATAATAATTGTTCTTTATTATTTTTATATTTATTATTCTTTTATACACCACTGATCATTTCACAAATGAATAAATAAAATATAAGTGTAATTAACATAATTGAGCAAAAGCTCTCAGAAACAATCGCCCAGTCATGGATTTATTGAAATGATTTATGTTTCCAAACGATAAATGGGGTTCGTGATTAATTCCACTACTTTCATACGTGTCTGTATGTTTATCACTACGAATGTGTGAACCATATTTGTTCATCCGATTAGACTTACCTTCAAACGACTCGTATATACATATACACGCGCGCGCGGATGCATATATACAAATATAAATAAAGTATATATAATTCATATAAATATAAATATATATAATACGAATTATCGAGAAAGAAATGTGTATGGCGACACACAATTGTTAGACTATATGTCGCGGTGTCCTGATTGAATGGCAATCGTGACATTACAAATGAAACACATTTGTTACAACGCTGCAGAGATTTATTCCGATAAAAATTAGGGCTATTGATTTGAATTAAATAGATAAAAATTACCTGATTGTTCAGAAGAAATCCAAATAAATGAGGTGAAGCACAGACTCTCGCAGTTTAAAAGTTGATAGTCCTTCGGTCGTCTCCGACTAACATCGAGAATGAACGGAAATGCCCGAATGTCCTCGACTACCTCACGAATAGGCGGGTAACTTTTTTCAATTTGAATATTTCAACAGCTCTAATAAAAATCTTTGTCAGTCTCGTTGCTTTCTTATTTCCGTGTATAGATTGAAATGTAGGAATTCGACTAATTAATAAGAATACGACTCTAGCGAACTCTGTTAGAGATGTTTGCAATCGTTGGCAAACGAACTATGAAGTTGCTAACGTTTATTGTTTATTGCAAACTTCATTTAGAGTCGCAATTCGTATGGATGTGCAGTGTTGATCTCATTGTTTTTCTTTTTTCTAATTTTTAATTGCCCTTCGCTCATCTTATTAATAACCGATAGCGTAATAAAATTCGATGTCTCAGCGAAGTAATTTTGATATATTTAAAGTATTTCGAATAGTAAGAAATTTTCAAGAATTTACAATTGCAATAAAAAATAATCTTTGAATCTATGTTTATTAACGTAGAATATACATTCAAACAATTGTAAGACTGGAATATGGACCGTGCGGATCGTTTATGGCTGTGACACGTTCTATAATCGTATTTATTGAAAAAGAATTTGCTGCATAGTTATAAAATGTCTAAGCTTCTTTAAAATTTCTAATAATTACATTATTTTCTTATTCAAAGCAAAGAAGATAATAAAATAAAAGTGTTCAAAACTATTGAATAAATTCGCTGAGCCATCGAAAGTCGTAGTAAGTTCCTCGTTTGCCTCCGTTTAGGTCACACAAATCTAACATTTACATTCGCGGCACAAAGCATAAACACTGAGGGCGTTCGCGTGTTTACTAGGATATTTTATTCGGTTGTAGATCAGAAAAATAGAAGAGTTTACAAACGAAATTTCTACATTTAATCTTTACGCGAAGAAAGCTTTGAAATATTATACGATTACGTTTATTTTGCGACTTTTCTGCGAACATTGTTTGTATCGTTTAGCCTCCACGTACATGTACGTTTGTAAAATGCTATTGATTTATATTATTAAACTATACATACATACATACATATAACTTCGTACAAAGTGTGCCCTCGATTATGTATTCGATTCAGATTCATGTTAATTCGTCGTGAACGCCTGAGTTGAAAACTTCATTTATCTGCCAATGGAAGAAATTTAAAAAATAAACTTTCTCAATTATACATTTAACTCGAATTGCAATTTGGAAGGTATCAAATTAAATTCTTGGCACTTTAAACTTCGTCCATTTAAAAAGGAACAATAATTATATGATAAACACTGGTTGCTTAATAATATACAACGAACAATAAGACCAAAAAAGCGAAAAATTGTTGTTCGAGTAATTCAACTCTGGAGTAGGCGACAATCGAAATCGTTACATTTTCCTCTTGTCATTTACGTACACATTTCTATAGACTTAAATACTTGGTTGTTCAATATCCGAGCATCGTGCCAAAAAGAAATGAAAAAAAAAAAGATAAGAAAAACAGTTGCTGCTTCTATTTGAAAGTATGGAAATTTACACGGGGTCCACACTATATGTCAATGAAAAGAAGAAATCGTAGGACTGTAAAAAAGCGTCGAGCACGCTAGCCTTTCCAAGGGGAAAGACGATGCAGGGGAAGGAGGCCCCTTATTCATCTTAATATTATACGTATATTTATGCCTAACTTCGAGCACGTCCTGGAACACGTGGTTCCGCGTTACGATATTTTTCCAATAACTAATAGGACTGTTTTCATTCTCCTTTTTGCAAGTTTTTATCAAAGCGAAGCCCTAACTAATTATTCGGTGATGTCAAGGTAGCAATAGAAAGAAGATTTTTGCTTGTTGTATAAGAAAGCGTGTATGTTACGTTCGCAAATGACATTAACAAGTTGCTTCGTAATAGCACAGTGAAAATCATCCCCATGGAACAGACAGTAGATAAACAGTGAACACGTTTTATATGTACTCTTAAAGTTCCTTAGAAGATATTAGAGGACATATAGCTGAGGTTGTCTTAATTGCTAGAGAATAATTAATAATAGTTGAATCGATATAATATGCGAGGATCGTTTTATTTGCATTTATCTCATTGTGGCATACTTTACAGTGACTTATTTTTATAGATAGGTTTTACGATAGAAAAATATAACGACGTTGTTTCAAATGATTTATAAAGCGTATATATTATCGATGTTCATCGATCTAACGATGGTCGACTCATACGAGAACTTATTTAGAACCTGGTAGCTTTACTCGTATCATTAAATTACGGCACGAACGATTTCACTGCTACTAATTCATCAAAATCAGTGAAAGTTTATATTGATTTTCTTCAATTATCTGTGCTTGATTAAACAAAAATATGTATAATAAGGAGTAATGATAATTTTTCTAAAATTTTTAACTATGTAGTTAAAAAGATGAGAATTATACGGTAACAGTGAAAGCGTTAAATTTCCAAACTTCGGCATCATCGTGAAACTATTAATTATCGACTGACATTATTAGTTTCTCCTTTATCTTTGATTTCAAACTATCGTTCATGAACTAAATCGAGAATCAAATCATGTTAAAAGAATAAAGCTATCATCGAACTCCATATACACATATATGTACATGTATACAACATAACTCATATAAACATCTCAAAACTATTCGCTTATATTTTTCTTCGATAATATTATTACTGTTTGTATCGTAGCGCACCGTGCATAATAACTCGGAACGATATCGATAATACCTGATAAATCACGCAATACCTGATGCGAAATATACATATTATACTTCTATAAAAGACGCGACAATAGATAGTTTCGAGATTGTAGCAACGCGAACGTGTTTGTGCATCGAAGAAACGTGTAATTCTTTCTATCGTTTTCGAGCGTGGACGTAATATAATAAGGAAGGAAATGTAATAAAAAAAAAAAATGAACTTATATATAGATTATTATATATCTGTACTTTATTGTGTCTTTAGTAGACGTCTCTTGCGGCTACCGTTCATCGACCGATTAAACAATTACGTAAATAAATAAAACGGATAGAAAGTACAATGGTGCTTTGGTGAATTTCCATCCGTGATCGAGATCTATACGTGTTACTGTCTGTTATTAACGAGGAAAGTTTACATACCTGATTTGCATAACAAACGCTGTGACACCTATACACCTGTTGTCACCTCCGCGTCAAGTGGCATACTGGTGATTATCGTGCGCGCTACTTATGTAGGAATGGGAAAACTTGCGCGCATGCGCGTGCGCATGCGTATGATCGTTTGTGCGAACATAGATCATATTTAAATGTATCTTGGCACATTTTGCACATATAAAACAGGATAATCACTTTCATCAATTTATATATCATAGACAAGGGATGAAAGAAGCTTTTAATACGATTAAAATTTTCAGACAGCAACTAAAACGTATTGTTATCGTTTCTATATTTACAGAAGTGTATTTACACACGATTTTTATTAGCAACGTGTCTACATAAGAACCATGTAAGTATTTCCGATTACCGAGGAAGTCAAGGAGCACACTGAAGCACGTGTCGACTTTCTAGGGAAAGAGAGTAACGAGAAATGATGGAGGTCTCTGGACACAGACATTCACGATCAGATAAACAAAATTCTCTTTGGAAAGAGAGAAAAATTTCTTTGTTTCATTTTTAAAAAGAATTTGATGTCCAGAGTTCATCAAAGAGATCTTTGGATATACATATATATAAATACAGAAGTCGAGTTACAGAAAAACACGCGAGTATACTGCTGCTTGTATATTACATCTTATCGACTAGTTAGCAACTAAGTGACTAGCAATCGAGGATCAAAGGACGCTTATCGATCCTTGTTCGAACTTAGCATAGAACAACTTAACGATTAGTTTTGACAGGACGAGCACCAGAGTTGACGAGTAATTATAAAGAATACAGGGTGTTTAAGAAACAGAATTCTTTGCTTACATGATAGATAATTCTCCCTTTTCTGTAAACGCCCTGTAAATCTAAGGTCTCAGCACACGAGGACCAACCAAGAGCGTAAATCGAGGCTGCGTATTAGCATTAATGATTTAGATTCAAATCATTCTATTCTGGCGCGATTGTATTGAAGCATCGCCTGGTGTTGAAGAGAAGAACTAACAATCTAATTTTAGCGCCTCTATCGGCGAAAGCTCATTTTTAGCACCAAACAGGAGATGGCGCCATTTGTTTAAGCGGTTTTTTTAAATTACAAAGATTTCAAAGCCTTCAATGAAAACATGTCGCTCTACATTTTCATTGTACCATCAGATCAAAAACAGCCTATTTATGATCCTCATAGATAATTATTGAAAAGGGGAACAGATCTTTAGATCCTATATTCTGAAAGAAATATTCAGTCACCCATTGTTTTCAAACTATTGAAAAGGGAGTAGAATACCAGTTTCATGAAATCTAAAAGAAGTTCAAGATCCAATTTCCATAAACACCAAGGAAGATTTTCAACATTCAGTGACACGTTTGCTTTCAAATTCAATGAATTTTCACGAGCTCGATAATTCCAAGTTCCCCAATTCGAAGCGGAGAAATCTCCAGAGATCCACCTTCGTATCCTGTCCTATGAATTCTTCAACTTCTCGATTCAACTTCCAAGAATCTCGAGGGAATCGCTCGTAAAATTCTAGGAACCTTACGAGCAACGAAGAAGAATCATCATCCATCTTAAAACCTTTCCAGTGACCTGAGCTCCTTGGACATAGCCTCTGCTTCCGCATCATTCTCCAGTACTTCTTCCCCATCGTTCAATTGATCTTGGCCATCGGGATCGTTTACCAAGACACTCTCCTCTCCGGTCTCCTGTGCGTCTTCCGGCGCAAGGAAGACGCTGGTTCTGTCCTTGCACTTCCTCTGATAATCAGGATTATCCGGAGCTGGTCTGTGGCAGGAATCGCAGACGGTGTCGGTGGTCGAGGTGCAGGGATGCGCTTCGTACAGTCCTGGACCGCACCTCGAGCAGATCCAACAGGGTTGGGTGCTGTGATGAGGGCTGTAGGTGCCTTGTGCGCATTTTCCGCACTCCGTGTCGCGGCCACGGGTACAACGGTTCACTACGCCCCATCCTGGACCGCATCTGCTGCAATGAGTGCCGCCTTTCTGGTGCCTGATGCGAGGCCTGGCTTCGATCACCTGGAACAAGAGCAGATGCGCTTGGTCAGAGGATGAACAGATAAATGTACATGCCTACCTTCGGCGTAATAGTTGGTTAGCGTTTATTGGAAAATTTTCCGTAAAGTAATAAGAGTTTCTCAGCGGGAAAAGTATAGTAAAGCAAGAAAAGCGGTAGGTGGTGATTTTTATAGGGCTATTAAGAAGTACCGTACACGATGCTTTTCCAGAACGATGTTACAAGGCAATAAAATCGCTATAAACCCAATTCTTACGGCTAATAGAAGTTATCTGGTAAGTAACGTCGTTTTTCAAGTGGCACCTTATATTGCTTCATAAAAATGATAGTTACATGCCCTTTCGTTTTTTACAACCTTCATTTGTAAAGAAAAGTTTAATTGTAAAAGATGGTTAAAAAGTTGCCGGGAGGTGATTGTAAAAATCATTTAGGATGTAATCCTAATTTGCATCTCGGTCGAATATGTTTTCCGTTGTATCTTCGATCGTGGTCCGTTACGCGACGAAAGAAAGGCGCAAGGTGTTCTCGCAGTCAGGTGTCTTTATCCTTTGGCACCTGTTCTTCGATGGTGTATATTGAATTTAGAACTAAATGGCTTCCTTTGTTTTCTTTGAGAACACGAAATTTCTAGGCTCGATAGTAATTATTCTTTAACTAAGAATAAGCTGGGCTATTCATCACCGGACTACATTGTTCTCCTTGACTACATATGATGTCATTAGATGATTTTATTCGTTTTTGTTTCGAGATCGATAGCGAAATCAAAGATTTGATAATGAAAAGAGGTTTTGATAGGGACTAGAGATGCAGTACCATCGTCGCAGCTGGTAACAGCCGGCTGCTGGCACGCGCCAACGGTCATCGTTGCATCAGGTGCATCATTGCACCGGGCCTCGTTCGTTCGTGAAATCCTGTCCATCTTTTTCTCTCTTTCTCGTTGCTTTTATTTCCTCTTTAGCCCATCCTTTCAACGCGACTCTCCCTGGATTATCCCTGGATTGCACGCATTTCACTGATTCAATTCGTTCAGATTAATCCTTCAAAGTTGTATTTATTTCAAGTCCATAAATTCAGGGCTCATTTCTTAATATAGGATTAAAAATCATATACTCTCCGTTCGGAATATTAAGAAGAACCTTTTTTATTTTAATTTCCATTAACGGTACACATAATACCGTAAAGATACCCTAAGGTGTATGGGCGTAAGTAGAAGCGTCATTGTATCGGTCTCGTAATACGAGCCAGGCTCCTCACGTAAGGATGCACCCTGTCAATTTGCCGGCGAAACGAGTCCAGTGAAAAGGGTTAATAATAGCGTGCCCCTGTCTCGGGGGCAACTTATCTGACCGAGTCATCATACACGTATGACATATGCCGGTACCCCCTTCATAAAGAAACTTAGAGGTCGATCTGTCTGGGAGTCAGCTGGCCACGCAACCCTTTTCTTCTTCACCGATCATACAATATCTGCATACTCGTTATGCAGAAGTAATCTCTCTTATAATTAACTCCAGAACTGAGGGGTTTCGAGAAATTATCACAAACGACGATGAAAAAGAAATCTTAAATCTTATTAATAAAAAGTAATGTTGCCCAGCTTTGTTACCGGTCAATAGACTCGACTGGAGGGTTCTTAACTTTAATCAATAACAAAAGAGTTTGCACGGGAAGCGAGGAAATTACATCCTCGAAAGGAGGAGTCGCAGCGGTTGGAAACGACCTTTAACAATTTCCGATCGTTTTTCCAGCGTAACTACTCATCGTAAAACGTTGGGTAGACTCATGGTGAAACGCGAACCCGATAAATCCATGGAATTTGCGGCATGCTCCAAACGACCAGCTCGACTGATCATTTTTCGAAAAAGAAAAAATGAAGGAGAAGACGGTTCTTTGAAGACAAAAAGGATTGCTCGAAGGATAACAATGGCATTGTCAGAGATTTTTTAATTTTGAAATCGAAACTCTTCCACACCAAGGGTGTCGAAAATAAAAAATAAAATCGAGAGAAGAAAGAGTAGAAAAAGGATGATTTACGATCGCTCGTAGATCGGTAACAACAATGACGGAAGTAACGGCGCTCATAGTGACGAGTATGAATAGAACTTCCGGCAGGACGAGCGAAGCGGAAGTAGTAATTGCGGTTGCTTTTGTATCCCTCTTTCTCTTTTTTTTTTTTGTCGACGCAACTATGCCGCCGTCGCGTCGATAAATTCCAATCGAAAATCGTTCCTTCCTGGTCGACGAGTAACCCAATATCAAAGTCATCCTTCTCTTTTTAATTCTCGAAATTCTTTCCCTTTGCTTTTATAAAGTTCTCAAAATAATCTTTTAATTGATAAAGAAAATTGATAACAAACCGAAAGTTATAACTGATCAAAACTGATTCGGCGAGTTCTTTTTTATTTGCCCGATATTTCAGTGAAATCGCAAACTGCATCTCACTGCATTTATGCAACGACGCGTGCAGCGGTGAATCGTCCGACTTTTTGTCTCCACTTTCCTGTGTCACCGTCAGCTAAAAACAACGGACAGGAAAACACAAGAATATTTTACCTCCCGCGAGGAGACTACTTTTTTCCATTAGAGAAATGGATAAATTCCACGAGCTACGTAAATAATTATACAGGGGTAGCGTTTGCTATAGAAAACGACGGTAAAAAAGAAGTACATAAGTACATAATAAAAAAGTTAGGAGTGAGGTCGGATGATCGCCAGTCTGTTTGTGAAACAGTCAAAAGCCATGGGGGGAAAGTTCAGTGTGCCGTGACAGCGCGCTTTGGCTTCGCTGTCTCCTCGGCGACCTTTTCTGTCCGCTTCCTCTTGAACACGTGCGCGAGCGCGCAACCCTTTGACCAGGTTTACGCCTGGTACGCTTGCACGGGCCGTTGCATAAATGCAACAGGCTACGACCGGCGAACGGCGAGAAGTGGTCGAAAAGTTTGCGACTGTGAAAAGTAGACTCGACGCGGTTGCTTTTCAGTCGATGTAATTTTTGCTCTTACGGCTGACACTAGAGAACCGGGAACTTAGAAGAAATATTAAATTCTTGCATTTCAATTGGGCAAATTTTAAAATATCTTCTCAGAGTGACTTCGATCTTCAGAATTTACTTTTGCTAATCCTCGAGTATACGGAAACCTTATTCGTATGAAGTTGCACAGGGATTTCCATTGGAAATTTCAAAAGTTAACCAAGCAAACATTTCCCGTTTCAGCAGAAAGAGCCACTCGCCTCGAGGGTGAAACGAATCGACGCAGCTGCGCCAGCAACGCTGATAATTATCTTCGCTCGCTGCCACCCCATTGTTCCTCGTACCGCCTCCCTATATCGTCCACCGCGTTGCCCTCTTCCCTTTTCAGGGCCCTTAGGCCCCGTGTTCCACTCGAACTGACTCCTACGCAGCTGTGGCTTCGACGGGCTATCGAAAACGAGTCGACTCGAAACTGTTCTGCTGTTATTCGCCAACGAAATAGCAACTCCCTTCTGATGAAAATTCTACGCTGCTACATATTTCACGAGATACCTGTGCAAATGTCTCATGAATCATTGTATTCGCAAATGACCAAACGCGTTTCTATTTACCCATAAAGTTTCATTGAAACCGACGTTAGCAAATCTTGCGGTTTCCTCGATAGAGAAATACGGGTAGGAATAGAAAGAATAGCTTGGATTCTTTTCCCCAAGTTTTGTACACTAGAAATATTTAGAAAAAATATTGAAAAAAGAAATTAACTATATTTCTAAGGAATCCCTTCGCAGCACCGTGTATTAAATGGGAAACGCGTTTCTTCTAAAGCAGATATTTAATTTCAAAAGATTTTATTTAAATGAAACGTCGTTGAAAGGAGTAGCAGAAACTAGAACCGTGCATCAAGATGAGATTAAAAAATATTTTTAATTAAACAAATTCCTTCAATCTACCTCGCTGTGTTTTTATTTCCGGCAACGAGAACAGTGTCGAGAGAGGTGAAATAAATAAAGCCACTAAACCGATTGCTTTTCCACGGCTCGCGTAAGAGAGTAGAACGTATATGTATATAAAGGAGAAAAATTGAAATCCAGGTTAGTTATTTCGAAAAGGCACACAAACTTTCCCGTGTTTCGTCGTGAAAGCAGACGTCACTGAAAACCATAACGACACTCGACACGTTGCCCGAGCAACGCTTCAAAAACTCGCTTTTGCAAATCGCTTAAGCGTGCCGGAGCTCGCTAACGAGCTACCCGAAAATTAATGACTAACCTTAAGACTTGAGACGTTCGCGGCAGATAAAAAGATTCTCGTATTTAAACGTCGTTCTTTTGTATTCGAAGCGACAAACATGCCGTGGCACGTTTCGAAACAATTCCGAACAAGAAATACATCGTCCACGATTTTAATTAAATGAAACACCCGGTACATCTACGAACGCAACGAAGAGAATATTATTTCCGTAATGTAACAATAACAACAACGAGGAACAGGTTGTTCGAAACGGTCTAAGCCGGCGACAGAAAAGTCGTAGATCGAGCTGTTTCACGTTCACCAGCTGCCCACCGTTTTAACTAGAGCCTTCCCGTAAGATGTTGTCAGCGAGTTATTCAGTTCACTGGGGTATTTCGTGCTTTACAAGGCTCATTAGGATGCCATGGGAACCGACCGAGTCGCTAGTTCCGCCAGTTTTCGCGAACCACGACCGACCCTTCTTCTACCCACGCATCCTCAACCTACGCGCCTTCGAGAGTGCCTCTCGTCTTCAGGGATAGCCGGCTTCCGGTTTCCAACATCTTCCCAGAATGGGAGCGTTTAATTTTACTTTCGCGAGACAAAGCTCCCTGCTGCTAGGGGAATTGAAATTGCCAAGGAAATTGATGTCTACCGTCTGCTCGATTCATCAATTTTTGTGCAGCTACCTGCATACCGGGAACAATGGAATTCTCGATGGATTCTAAAGCAAACTTATCGAACATTTATCTCTTTGAAATTCTATCCAGCATCCAGTATACAAACTTCATAATTCCATAGGGTGTAAAAGGAAAATATCCGGAAAATCGTTAGAACATCGGAAAGGCCGGACGTTTCCTGGGTGGAGTTTTTAAAAATTTCAAGCTCACCGCAGAGCTCGATTTTTATTTCATATATCCGGCAGGGTCGCGCAATCCCTAGGGTAGTTCGATCCTTCCTCTATTCGAACACTTTCCTTTCCCTCCCAACATGAATTTTCCGCAACGAAAGCGCACCCCTTTGAAAATTTCCACCCTCGTTATTAATCGATTTCTCTCTGCAGTTCGCGAATGTTAGCGATGCGCTTTGTGCATACGCGGACTGCCCGGTAGAATCCTTAAATATTAGATGGACCGACGAAACTTAACGCGATCCGCGTTCAAGAAGCTCTCAAAGTCGTGAAAGGAGCGGCGTTTATTGCATTACCAGAGAAGTAGGTTAGCCGAAGGAATGCAGTCGTGTGTCGCATCCACGAAAGTAAGTGCGTTTCGCCATTCGGTCTGCTCTGTTGATTTATTAACGCGTCCGCGATGGCCAGCTGGTCGTCGCTGACCGTTGCTGCCAATTTCGTTTAATCAGAAAATTATTTCAACGTCTTAATAGACTCGGATCATGGCAAGTGTTCCCTTGATTTTTCAACGATAGTGCATGTGCATGCATTAGGAACCAGGCCAAAAGGTCGACGTACAATGGAGATAACGTTGAGGATCGTGGCAGGGAAATTAATGAAAGCTCGGGAAACCGAGACAGAAGGGTGAAAGAAAGGCGACGTAGAAACGGAAGAGGTGAACGCGGACGGGATAAGCCCGGGGAAAGTGGAAAGCAAGTCCAACAACAACCGCGTCTAAAAGAGCACAAGGGTAGAATAAAAGGAGCTATGCGGAAACGGAATAGAATATTGCCAGAACAACAGAGCACTGGATCAAAAGACGGCCAAGAACGGGCGAAACTTTCTTTTCTTTCTTAAACAACACGTTTGAAAAGACAAAAACGTATCTCTTCCTTTAGTATGGAAAAGATATTTTCCATTTATTTAATACTGCAATTTATTTTCAATTGAATGCACCGAGGTCTAAAAGGACTTCAACGATAGAAATCAAAGTTGAAGAGATAAAGTAGTAGAATGCAAAGGGGAATCGAGTTGGAAAGATCAGACATCGGTGAAAAGTCGGAGATAGGGAAAGATAGTCGTGGGAGCTGACAAAAGGCTCCTTGTTTCTGAGAAAGCTCGTTTCCTTCTCGTGTTGGTAGCTATTCCCGCGTGTGCTAACAAAGTGCGAAGTACTGTCACTGTCCACTTGCACGCGAATTACAGGCGGAGTCGATATACTGACAGAAGAGCCGACGATCGAACATCGTGAAAAGTGTTTTAAGCCGAAAGTTATTTTCATTTCCAGAGAGTATCAAATTGATACGACGTAAATGTTATTTTCATCTCATCAAATCGTTCGAAACTCTTCAAACTTTCAGAGTACTAAAATTAACACAACCAGTATTTAGGCAAATGGACAGACGGATGAGAAAGTTAACTCCCCGATAATAAAATCTCGCATCCAGCTCTAATTACCGTCGCGGTTGGTGCAGCAAAAATTATCCATCGGTAATAGATAAAATCGGTTCTCACACGGGGCACGGGAACCGCGCTCGGAAAAGGGATCACGCCCGAAGATTTATGCAGAGAGCCCTTTACTTCAGATTCATGTACACTGGGTGTTGAAAAAGTTTCGTAGTCCTTTCTTTCCTTTTCGTTCAAAAAGAGAGGATATGCACGCAAAATGGTTCGTTATTTTATAATAAATGAGATGAAAAGGATGAGAAAGAAATCGAACAACCGACCCGAATTACAGTAGATACTTTTTCCACTTCCCTTAATTACCAGAGGTATCGAGAAAATTGCGATTGCTTAAAAGCTAAAAGGAATAAGATACTGCACCGTTTTTATCCCTCTCTTCTCTTGTTTCGCGCCGATAATCCAGCGGTTTGGGATTAATCGAAGGAAGGATCTCTTCTCTCCGGATTCAAACGCGATACCGCAATGTTTCTTTCTCGATTTCGTTTAAATATTTACTAACGGTGGGGCGTAATTGTTAAGAATTATCGTTTCCTCCGTAAAATCACTACGATCTTCCTTACGCAATTCATCCTTGTTTCGATGGTAAATTGTATCCTGCCTTGTACACGATTGATTTTAAAAAATGGTACTTCGAGTTGAAAATTTGTCGAGCTTTCTTAATGATTAAAGAAAAAAGTAGTTGAAAAGAATGTGTAAAAAAGTGAAATTTCTCTTACCTGAAGCAGAGCGATTATGCAGCAGACGCCAAGGGCGATGACGATTAATCCTCGTCCGGGAAACATTTCTCCTTTTATCTTGTTTCGTTATTTCACGCGAATGTAGACGCTTCGATCCTTTCGGCTTACAGCATCCCACGTAAACGTTCGCAGGTGCACATCGATCACGAATCGATGGTACGGTTCAAAGTCGATTTACACGGTTTACGAACCAAAGCGATCCCCTCACGTGACCTCTTCGATTCGATCGAAAAGCGCGAAACGATCACCGGCACTGTTACCAATCGTGATTAACCGGTACAATGTCGTGCGAAACTTTGAAGACACAATGTCGATGAACTCTGTACCGTTCCTCTTTGAACAGATAAAGTTTCAGCTAACTCTGAAAGAGTTGACAGGACACACCACCTTGCTTCGACGAAGGCTGAGCGTGAATTGAGGGAAGAGCAACAGTGCAGCAGCTGTTATTGTCGAACACGCGCTCGGTCACGTGGTTCATCCCTACCATTCCTTTAAAGGACCATGCAGAAGAAGTCTGGATCGTTGATTCAAAATGGTTGTTTCGAATTTTCAAATGGTCATTGACCGATGCAATTTTCATCTATATTTTTTCAAGATTGATGAACGTTTTTATTCCTGTCTAATTATTCATGCTCTTCTTTTTTCACTAGTGTCCTGTAAATATTGAAAAGTTTATAAATAAGCTCATGTACAAATAGTTTGATCATTGTTATAGCAATTGTTTATTGTACAGCATACAGAATACTTGACATAATATATGATGCGCTAAAAAGTTTCCAGATCACCGAACGAGAAACTCGAAACCAACCTGCACGCTCCACGACTTCGCAAAAAACTCTGGATTTTTAAAGAGGTGTTTCGGAAATTTGAAGCTGCCACGCGCCATAAGTTTACATCGCATGCATTCAATGATGCACACTTATAAAGCACTCCTTGAATCTATTTACACGTTTGATAAGCGTCCTATTAGTAGCTGAGGCTCCATTACTTTCATCTGGTTATAAAATACATTTATATGGTTTTTTATCTCAAGCCAAATTCTGTATACCTATATCAAAAAACAAACATGATTATGCAACAGAAACATTGTTAATCGTATAAAAATAAAATACAAAGTATTCCTCTTAGGCACAGCAGATGTACCCCGTTACGACAGTGATTCTTGATTAATTCAACGTACCATCTAGAAGAGAATGACAGGAATTCGAGCAGCTAACGAGCGAAATATAATCCATAGAAAATATGTAGGGTGCAAAACATTGGCAGATTGAAAAATCTGTGGACCGCGAGACAGCCGGTCGAGAAATTCGAGAGGGAAACGCGCACGGTCCACGGATCGAAAGCGGACTCCTCCTCGATCTATATATCGCCGTCATCTCGTCCGAGGGCGATCGGTTACCTCAGCTGCGGTAGCAGCTGACGAACCTTCTGCCGTGCCACCTTCGTCGTAAATATCCACCGGTAGATATTTTCTGTAGGACAGGTGCTTACAATCTGCTTCAGCGACAGCCGGCCTTCGTGACGATTTTGTTGCTACGCCCGAATCATCATCGAACGATTTCAATCAACATGGACCAATGAACCTATATAATTGTTTTTATTATTAGCTTCGATTATAAGATCGTTCAAGTGTATGCAGAATTAATTGCAAGTGAAAAAAGAAAAATTCTTAATGTCCTTAATAATATGGAAGTAAACGTACCTCTTGACGAACTGTTAAGTAAAAGTAATAATATTGAATAGAAACGGGAAAAGGAAGGTTGCGAAAGATTCAGTATAGCTGTTGATTCCACGATCCCTGTAGACCGATCGTTTCCCATACATAAATAACGCCTCGCCTACACCCACCGTATCCTATGCTCCCATTATATCGTATTATATCAACTACCCATTATCCAAGTAGTATTCTTGTTGCTTCATCTCGTCTCGAGATATCCTCGGCAGCAGTAGATGGACAACAGTCATGGCGGATTGTTCATCTATAAACGAAGTAAAATAAAAATTGGTAATAATGAAATTTTTTATTTTTACTTCAAGAATGAATAGAAATATGTTAACAAAATGATTGAACCTGAAAGAATTTTTGAAGAAGCAATAAGTGCCCTCTCGGAAGGAAGTAAGGAACCGGAAATGGGAACTTGAATTTGGCCCCTTTTTCTTCGTGCACAGTACCGTGAACGATCGCCCGAATTAACATTTTGATTCCGTGGGGTCGTTATAATTTATAATTGAGACCACGGGCTAACTGCAGTCAAGCGCAGGTCTACAGCAACATTGAATAATTAAGGGATCCTTCGTATCCCGGACCAACGTATTGGACAGAGTTTATGTTGGTTGATGACGAAATTAAACTTTGCTTACCTTTCTCCATAGTATTTCATTTCTTCTACCTGTTAAATGTTCTTTATCAGTAACATGTTTAAAGTAATAAAACTAATAAGAATCGATACATTACCGATTTTGATAACACAACTGTTTCAAGGTAGGACTACCAGCACCATCTAATGGTGATATATTTAGCGCGTCCCTGTTCAACGAAATGGTTCTAGGTCATATCTTTTTCTTAACTTTGTTACTTTTAATACACTAAATACATTATTTGACAAATCAACAAATCAAAGAAATCATGTATGTACTATTGAAAAAAACGGGCATGATTGCCATACCAACCGCATTCTCTACATACAGACCTAACTTTACCTGTGGGTTGTCTGAGAACCCTACATACAGACCTAACTTTACCTGTGGGTTGTCTGAGAACCCTGAAATCGTAACCCCTAGAGAACAAAGTATATTTGGTCATTTCGTATCTCTAGTCACTGGTCACTGTATACAGTGTAATCGTAAGTTAAACAATTAATTGAAACAGCTGCGTTTGTTTTTAAGTATAATCGTATAATCTTTTACAAATACAGCAAAATTAACATATTTAATATCATGATATACGTATGTACAGATAAAAATTATTAAAGTTATATTTGATTCGCTTTAACTTTTCATTTCTTCGTGACTAGCCTATACTTTGATTATTATTATTATACATTGTATTTTATTAATTTATAATAAGCATTGCGCTATAAATATTTACACCAGTTAATTATTTTTTTCTAAAACACTATATCTGTTTATTACTTTACAGACAGAAGCACAATTTCATGTATTCATTATGGTCTAAAGTTTTGTGAAATTAAGGTACAATTAATGACGTTTTCCTGAAGTTTTTAAATTATTTTTATTATGGCTCTCAGACCATTTTTACACTTAGGTGATAATGTATATAAATGGTAAGTGATTTAATAGCTTACCATATGTGATATCAAATCAGGGATAATATCAATTTATGTACTGATGTTCTTATACTTTTACAGCGTTTTTACATTTGTACAGCTTAAACCTAAAATATATGTGGCTCAAAAATATGCACAAATTAGGAATTTCAGTAAGCTAAGGGATAAAACAAGATTATCGAAAAACTTTCAAAAACATAAAAATGGACATGTTGTCAAAATATGGAAACCACTTACCTTTACAGTTATGGTAAGTAAAAGGGAAGCAAAGTAATCTATATTAATATATGTAAAGAGCACATAAGGTATTCAAGAATTTACTTATATTAAATTAATCTGAGCATAATCCATTTTTGTTACATTGTAAGTTTCACTGTTTTCATCAACCCAGTTTAGTGGAGCAACATTTATTGGTGCTGTCATTTGGGAATATGAGAGTATCAGAGAACGAACCCATAGGATGATCAGAAATTACAGACAATGGGGAATACATGTTCGTATAATGAAGCAAATGTTAAGTATATAAAAGATGTTTATTAAACATTATTAAAAGCTCAATTACGTTTAGAGAACAGGATGGAGACGTGAAATAGAGGTTTGGTGGAATAGTTTGTCAGAAGGAGAAAAGATATTTTTTCCTATATGTTTTTTGAATGTCATAGTGTTTTTATCATGGCATGTACCGGCATTTCGAGTAACGATGAATCGATATTTTTGTAGTAATCCTGCATCTAGTAAGTCGTATATTTTATCATATTTCTATAATATAATTATAGATAAATATTGAATTTTTCATTTTTGATCAAGGTGTCTTATGTTGGCCATTACTTTTATCTACATTTTCTCACTTTTCTGTTCTTCATTTAATGGCCAACATGTATGTATTATACAACTTCTCTACTATTGCTGTAAAGAAATTGGGTAAAGAGCAATTTGTGGCACTTTATTTAACTAGTGGAGTGGTAGCTAGTTTTTCAAGTTATTTGTACAAAGTTATGATTGGTTTACAAAATCCTTCGTTAGGAGCTGTGAGTATAATTATTAATTAATTATTAATATTATTAATACTAATGATAATTAATATGTAATTTAGTCAGGAGCAGTAATGGGCATTCTTGGATATGTTTGTACCGAATTTCCAAATACATACCTCTCTATCATTTTTCTTCCTATGATTAAATTTACAGCAAGTACGGTAGGTTGATTAATCGTATTTAATAAGGTTGAATATATGAATTAAATTGTAATAAAAACATTAATAATTAGGCCATTAAAACAATGATGGGAGTAGATACATTGGGGTGTCTCTTACGTTGGCAGCGTCTCGATCATGCAGCTCATTTGGGTGGAGTAATATTTGGGATGTAAGTATGTTTATGTGAAACCTACGAAAATTCGCATATTTTTTTTTTTATTTATCGTAGATTTTGGCAAGTATGGGGTAATGCTAATATATGGCAAAAACGTGAACCAGTATTAATGTTTTGGCATCAACTTCGTGATCAATCAAAATCTCGTTAAAACTACTTTGTTATTCAATTGATGTTATTGTATCAATTTTATCGAAGATTTAAAGAATCGGAGAAAATCAATTAAAGTAAGTATAAATTATATAAGAAAAGAATTAATTTGTCTTTCATAAATATTTAAATAATAAAAAGAGAAACAATAGAACGATTGCTTAATATTTCATAGTATCAGTTTATTTAAATATTTAATCTATTTTTTTCTGTAAAAAAATCGAGTTAAATATTTTTGTACCCTTATTAATATGATTATTTTCATTATATAAAGTGCTATTAAAAATTTATTTTTAATATACAAAAAATAGAAGAACATACATTAAATTAACTCTTAAGATATTTTACATGATGCTTAATATGATCTTCAATAAATGTAGCTATGAAAAAATAACTGTGATCATAGCCTTCTTGAAACCTAAGAACCAATGATAATCCAGCATCTTTTGCAACGGCTAACAAATTCTCTGGTAATAGTTGGCCATCTTTCCAAAACTTATCTTCTTTTCCCTAAAATTATGTGATACAAATTTTATTATACGTTTTTCCTTTATGTATAACCGTGATAACGTACCTGATCAACCAAAATATCCAAAGGAGGGCCATTATACTTTTTAGCCAGTTCAGTAGCATCCCAGTCTTTCCATGCAACATTAGTTTCTGTTCCACCGAAATAACCAGAAAAGGCTTTCTTACCCCATGGGCATGAGATTGGGTTGCTTATGGGTGCAAATGCAGAAACAGTCTTATACAAACCAGGATTTTTTAAAGCACATATCAAAGCTCCATGTCCACCCATACTATGAACAGAAATATTTTTATATTTGCAGCAATGAACTAATCTTATATCCTAAATTACATTCTTCTAGTTTACCTATGTCCCATTATAGATTGTTTATGCGGTAAAACGGGAAATTTTTCATTAATCAGAGCCAGTAATTCTTTAGTAACATAGCTATACATTCTATAATTTTTATTCCATGGTTCCTTTGTTGCATCAACATAAAAACCAGCACCAGTTCCAAAATCCCAGTCATCATCTTCCCCAGGTATATTAAGATTACGAGGACTTGTATCAGGTGCAACTAAAATTACTCCATGCTCAGAAGCATATTTTTGTGCACCTGCTTTTTGAATAAAATTTGCTTCTGTACATGTTAGACCAGATAACCAGTAGATAACAGGAACAGGCCCTTCTTCCACTTGGGGTGGAAGAAAAATTCCAAAATTCATTTTACATCTCAATTCATAGCTATGTTATAAAAGAACAAATTAATACAATTTCTACACTTTTGATTTATAGATACAAATTTATATACCGTACCTTTCGTGCGAATAGACTTTTTGCCATCCTCCAAAGCATTTATTACTCGAAACTTCAGTAATGTCAGGCATCTGAAATTATTTCGTGATACCAAAAGAATTCAAAGCATACTCTTTTCTCAAATTTATTTTATGTTCTCGCTATTGTAAGGTTAGATGCTCTTAACAGAAAAGCATTTAAAATCACATGATACATGTAATTAAGTTTGGATTATTAAAAAGAAATACGTAATTAACGTGATTAAAATCATATAGAAACAAACATTTTATATTATGTACTTTGAATAACGTATTTACCTTGTATCGCGTGAAATTACAGGCGTTCAATCTCTTGTAACAAAAGTTTAGTTTGGCTACGTGGATGATTCTTAATATCATAAATGGTGATAACAGTTCTTTTTAATTTCAAATATGAATACACAACTTTGTGTTACAAGTTCTTTGATAACGATAATATATGTAACCTTACAGCGATTAAGAGGTTTCGATAAATACCGTTTAAATTGTATGGGACTTAAAAAAAAAAAATATTAAATGTCTGTTGGTATTATATACAATTTTTTTTCATTTTATTATTTTTTGCAGTCAAGTACAATGAATAAAAAATACATTTGTATGTAATATATTACAAAAAATTAAAAAGTTCTTTTTGTTGATTGCGTTTGTAGAGATTGTTTCACGCATTGCTGTTTGAGCCTTATACTTTGTTTCGACGAATTTGTTGCTGAAGCAGCTGAAATAATTGTCATATGAATAAATAATATGTAATATAATAAAAATATTTCGAATTTAATAGTATTTATGTATAATATAGGTATACTTTCAAACTCAGGTTCTATGTTGACAACATGTCCAATACTTCCTCTTGATGATCCACAAATACTTCCGCGATTTGTACTTTTTGGCACACATACCACTGAGTTTGCACTACTATGACATTGACTTGATACTGGTGACTGATTAAGTATTGGAACAGAAGGTAATTCTATATTTTTAACTGCTAAAAGTTTCTTGATATAAGCTTCAGTTTCTATATGATGAATTGTAAATTCTGCAATGTCTTGTAAAACAATAGAATTTTGTTCCTGAAGTTCACGTAGTTGTACCTCTTTCTAAGAAATATAAATAGAAACAAATTAATTAATTGTACATTGTAATTGTACATTCTTTCTATAAAATATTTTATATAAATTACAGACCTCTTGTATAATTAATGTTTTGTTTCCAGTATTCATAAAAATTTTTTGAATACCTTTCTTAGCATTCTGCAAATTTTTATCAGCTCTAGATATTTTTTCCTTTTGTTCTTGGATCTGTTGTTTTAAGTTAGTTAAATATTGATTTTTATTTTCTTTATACTCTTGAGTTTCTTCTATATCTTTAAGAACTTTTGCATAATCCTCTTGCATTTTCTATTGAAATTATTATTTTATAAGCTAATATAGTTTTTACCTTTTAAAAAAATGATTAAACTATACATGATATAGAATACCTGCATATCTTCAGTTAAAGATTGTAATTGTTCTTGTTTTTGTTTTAAGTCTTTCTCTGCATTTTGGAGTTCATTATCTAACTTTTTGTGTTCTTCTGTTTCAGATTTATCCTCCTCTACATTCAAAGTAGCTTTATATTTGTCATTACAAGCATTTACTATTCTTAATGTATTTTCCATAGCTTGTATTTCTTGTTCAGTTTTTCTTATTGTTTCATCTAATTTATCCCCTTCTTCTTGTAAAAGGTATTTTTCTTGTGCATTTTGGATCTTCAGATGGGTAGTATTTACTGGGGTACCATCAGTGTTAGTACCTAACATAGCTACATAGTTATCATACCTTGCCTGTAACTGTTTTATTCGTATGTTTCGTTCGGCAATAGCAGATCTTAATTCCGAACATTCGCTACTAGCAACTCTTTTCTGAATTACCAGTGATTCCTTCTGTATTGCAATTTCTGCTTTGCGTTCCCGTACCGCCTAAATAATTATAATCGTGAAGTAAAAGTTTAAATACTTCTGTATGTTCATCTGGAGTAAATTAACAATTATTTTATTAATAACTTACAGCTTCTAATTCAAGCTGATGTCTTTCCAAGTCATATACATTGTTTCCAAGATTAGATATTGTCTTCTCCATTTGTGATACCTTAAGTCTTAACATACTCTCTTCTACTTGTTTCTCTTCATAACGATTTTGAGCGGATTTTAGTTCTTTTTCTCCAGCATTCATAAGAAGAACAAGATCTTGTCTTTTATTTTTTAAAGATGCCAATTCATTGTTGTCATTTGCTAAATTATTTGACATTTTTCTCATCTCATCCTATATAACAAAGATAATAAGGATACATTTAACATATATTTTAAGTGATTTGTTTAAAAATGACTTACTTCTAAACTTGTAATTTGTTTCTGTAGTAACTTGGATATTTTCATTTTCTCATTTAAGACATTTTGTAGCTCTTCAATATTTTGCTGCTTTCTTTCTACCTCAGTCTTATCATACTCATTGCCTCTTAATCTGTCTAATTTCATCTCAGCTTTTTGTACTTCGAATTCAACCATATATAATGCTTCTTTCTTTTCCTCGTATACTTGTTCATCCTTAGTATATAATTTGTTTAAATATTCGAATTTTTTAAGCTCCTTCTGATATTGCATCTTTAGAATTTTATTCTCGTTCTCTAAATCTTTTATTTGATTAATTACACGTAAATTTCCTGCTTGTAAACGATTTATTTCTTTCGTTATCTTGGACTTCTTTTTTTCTTGTTCCTACATCAATTTTTTGTATTATTTCGTCTGTTATAAATGTGTTACTATAATAATTATGAATGTTATTTGAACAACTACCGCGATCATATTCTCCACTTCCTTTGCTTTTTCTTCTATACCTGTTTTCTGATTGTCAATACTATGTAATTTTTTAGTTAAATCAGACACTTGTTTATTCACGTATTCCAGTTTCGTGTATTTTTTTTGAATTTGTGATTCTTTATGTTTTATATCAGCTTGCATTTGTTGCATATGCTGAGTTAATTTCTTCGCATTATTGTTGTGTATAATTAACTGAAATTTAAACGAATAGACAAGTCAGGAAAAGAGAAATTATTAATGTATCTTTAATAACATTACTTAGTCTATATTCTTACTTGGTTTTCATATGTACCAAACGTTTCTTTCAATTTTTGTTGTTCCTCTTTCATTCTAAAAAGATCTTTCTCCAGTTTTTTAATTGATTCTTCAATTTGTTTATTATTTTCATTTTGTTCTTTTAAAAACTGTTCTGATTCCTCAAGTACTTTTTTTTTACCCTGTGTAATCTCGTGTAATGTTTCAATTTCCTACATAACAAATTTTGAACTGGTTACAATGTAATGTAATACTAGTTCCAAAACTATTGCAAATATTGTAAAAAGTATCTATAGTAGATTTGAAATAAACTTCATACTTGAATAGCATTTTTAATATCATTATTTCTTTGCTGTAACATAGTTACACTCTCACTCCATTGATTAAAAATCTGTTGATATTCTATTAATGTTTGATCATACAATGTCGATGTTCTACTAAGAATAATATTCATCTCTTGGGCCTCATTAGTTATTTTAATGATCGTGTCACGATACGACTGTAATTCCGTGCTAAGTTTCTGCCTTTTTAATTCTAGTTCCTGAATTAATAATAATTGTATTATTTTCTATAAACTAATACTATTAGATTTATTTTATTATTTATTTACTTTGTACTCTTTTAAATCTTCCTTTATATATTGTTCTATTAATTGATTATTATCTTCATTTTGACTTAACATTTCCTCCAGTTCTTGTAATCCCTTTTCGTCATATTTAATTGTTTCCTTAGAACTTTCTATTTTTTTCGTCATTTTTTCCAATTCTGTTTCAATATTTGATACTGTCTCATTCACTGATTTCCATTCTTTCTCAAAGTTTCGCGCTTCTTGACGAAGGTTGGATTCAGTGCTACAACTCAGGCGGTAATGATGATCTTCGTTTTCAAGTTGTACCGAATGAGTATTTATAATATTTTGATTCATATCTTGTTCCGTCATTAAATTATTGATACGTTTTTCCATCATTTTGATTCGTTCCTCTGTAGTTTGCAGTTTCGTGGTCAAGTTTACTTTTAATTTAATTTTCTTTTCAATCTTTTTATTTATAAAAATGAATTAATTATTAAGAAATATTAACAATAACTGCTATATTCTTGTAAAATACTATCGTATAAACTACTATAATTTAAATTTACGCATGCTACTGTGCAAAAGTTTACTACTTAAAAAAAAAGAAGTGCGTAACGTAAAAAATTGACGTGCGTGAGATGAATGAAACTAGCGTAAACCGAATGAATTGCATTACTTCTTCTTCTAATTGTTTATTCTCTTCGTTTGCTACCGGTATTCGAAATCCATCTTGCCATCCTAACGCGGTCAAAACTTCGTCAATATTAATATTCATGGTCATACTTTGATTTTACCCTTTTATAAAGTGGTTTTTTGTAAAATAATTAGGTATATATCACAAAGCTTTAATATACAAAGGAAACATGTGTATTTTGCTGTCATAGCAACGGTACATATCGACAACAACAGTATTTAAATTGTAGAGTAGTCTGCTCTCATTTTATACTGTTTTTACAGGTTCATTTGCTTACAGAGGGACTGGTAAAACAGGTACGATTATTATACCTGCTGTGCTCTCTGGGGGTGTCTAGAACCCCATAAATCATGACCCCTTAAAAATGAAGGCATGTCCAGTCTTTCGCATCTGTAGTCACTGCATGAGACAAGAGTAGAAAAATATTGGATAACAATGGCGGACGAAGAATTACCATCGGGTTGGGAAAAACGTTTAAGTAGATCTACCGGTATGAAGGTTTATTTGCGGTAGTTAACTAATAACTTAGAAATATTTGCATATAATTATTTCTTTTCGTCATTATTATTTTTCTATATAAATTATAGATTGTTCGCTGTGTAGTTAGTTTTGAACGTAGGGCCGGCATTTTTCTGTTGAATTGACACTGCCTTCAAAAAATTGTATAATTATAAATGTAATTGCAAAGGAATTATATTATTTTTTTGATTATTTGTTCCAAATCCTTATCTTTTATATTTTACAAAAATCTCTGAAACTAAGGTGACATTAAATATAATGAAAATTGTGTTGATCTAGGATGTTGAGCAGTAACAAAATTGTTCGTTACATTTTATATTTTTTTACAGGACAGCATTATTATTTAAATATTTATACTAAAGAAAGTCAATGGGATAGGCCAGATAAACCTGCTGGAAATAATCCATCTGGAAATAATCCATCTGGAAATAATAAAAGGGATAGCCCAGAAGAAGTGCAGTGTTCTCACTTATTAGTAAAACATTCAGGTTCTCGTCGACCGTCTTCTTGGCGGGAAGAAAAGATTACAAGATCAAAGGAAGAAGCTCTTGAACTTATCAAATGTAAGACCAATGAATATATTTTTTGTCTACATATATCTTTGTTACAGTGTCTTTCATTATACAGAGTATGATTGCCTAAAAAATTTATTTATTTGTGTTCATAAACTTAGCTTACAGAGAGCAAATTGTATCTGGAAAAGCAACTTTTGCTGAACTTGCTTCAAAGTATAGCGATTGTAGTTCAGCTAAGCGAGGTGGAGACTTGGGACCATTTAATAGAGGTGCAATGCAGAAGCCTTTTGAACAAGCAGCATTTGCTCTTAAAGTTGGTGAATTGTCTTCACCAGTTCACACAGATAGTGGTATCCATATCATTCAGCGAACAGCATAAAAGATTAATCCTCAATAAAGTATTGAATTTATTAAAAAAATTCCTTCAATTGTGCTGATATGTTCATAATATTAGAAAATTTTCATAATTGCATTCAAAATCATGTATATTTAATTATGCAGAAAAAAGTTTTTTGTGCATGGATAAGATGTATGTAAATATCTTTTTTTTTTTTAAATTCAATATCCAATTATATATTTATGTCTTCCAGTTGATGCTTAACTGAAGTAGTATGTTGCACTTACAACTATTTTACAAATTTTTCATTGTGTGCATTTTCATGTGATGAAAGCAAAACAGATATAACATAAAGTAAAATAGACAGACTGTATGCACACAATTAACAATATTCTCTATTCATATTTGCTAACCTTACATTCCTTAAATGTTAGATAAGTTTCACATGGTATTAACAATACTCTCTAGTTTTCTTTGATTTGCTTATTCGAATATTTATTAAAAAGATAACAATAAGTACGAAAGATGAATTTTGTTACTTGTATTGCAATAAAAAAAGAAATTGAGCAATTGATGCTTAAATTAGTACATCAATTAAAATGGATTTAACAGTAATAAAATAAATCATATATACATATGTGTAACCATGAAGTTTTTGCTCAAAAACTAATGATCATTGAACATAATAATTTAAACTTTATTTATGTTTAGCTGGAATAAACTGTGTTGTAAACATGCTGCTAGGAAAAGTACAATTATTTGAGATTATTACAGCTTATATTAATAATATGACATTACCTTGACTATTCATCAATTTTATTTTAATAGAAATAAATGTTTGTTTCAAACATAAAAAAAGAAACTTGTTCAGAAATCATTCATGTTTTCAATATTCTTCAATTTTTCTAATCTATGCTTATGGTAATCTATGTTTCTGAAGACTGTGAATATTTATGTGAAAACATATATGTTAGAGTTGTAATAATTATTTCTTATCATCCAGTTTGCAGTGTATCTAACTTAATATGTATATACAATATGTATGTATGAAATAATTTCTCTTACAAAAAAAAAATGTATTACAATTAAATGTGATAATAATTTGCATCCAAATGCATTTGTCTACATTAAAGAACTACAATGTTTAAGCTACAATTTTAATTTTAAACGTTTCTGAGCTACGTTTTAGTTAAAATCATCGTTTACGAATGAACTACTATATTTGTGACGATCATTTGTAAAATAATGAATACTGTAACAGTTTCGATGCAAACTATTTAATAAGAAATTATTTGTTAATGTACGTGTTCTACACATGATCTATTATTTATGTACGAACGTCCTACACCCAGAGGAAGTCCGCGATTCAATCACTTCCCTTTCAGTTGGGTACCCTACATGAAACCTCTTTTAAATTATTATATAATCAAAAGTATGAACGTATATTCTCTTGTACAGGGGGTCAGCATATGATTGGCATAATGTTCTCTCGGACATTGCACATCTACACGTCGTACTTACGTTAAATATAAACGATTATCGCGGTTTAGTAGGTCAGCTTAAATAGCATACAAAGAAATTGATGCTTTCGAAGGTCTGAGGTGGATTTAGCATTTTTTATTGTTAAAAATGTATTTACATACATACACGATCTATCGTGTTTACCTATAAAACTGATTTCATCGCATGTTCATCGTTAGACCGAATATATTTGCTAACCTTGAGATAAATAGTTAGTAATAATTGGCGGAATCATGCAATTTTTAGCGGTCGCTTTAACGAGCTTGTCAAATTATTACCATCAATAAATTGGTCACGATACCTAAATCCTGCGAATCATATGGCACGCAATTTCCGAATGATTTTAATCGTGAGAATTATTCTTTTTTTTGAGTTTTATTATTTTAATCGCGCGCTCGCAAAAAAAGAGGAAATTCTGAAATACGATATGGTTCTGACGCAGAAGCGTAAATGCGTATGAAACTTAATTGGTTGCTTCATTAAATTCACCATATTACGAGGTATGTTGAAGCTTATATTGTATAAACTTTAATAATTATCATCAACCGGTTTTGTTAGGTATTATAAAATAATACCCAGGTATTATAAAATTATTAATATGCACCATTATGGAGAGATGAACATCTAATTTTAAAATCTTACCCTTACCTATACATATATTGCACGATAGCTTATGAAAATATAAAAGAGTAAAAATTGGCTCTGTAGATACAAGTAACGATTAATATTATTCATTTTTGTTTCTTCTACAAAATTCTTTTTTTACAAAGTTACCAGACGGTTTGTGTTTTAATTGTGATGACCCTTTCGAACGTAAGTATGAGTTAATTATCTCTTCTTAATTATTTACATTTACTTATCGCCACATCCATAAATTGACGTAAATGATTTCATAACTTGAGTCGGAGACTGCTATTTGGTTTTGTGATAATTCTTTTTTATTTCAATTTTTTTGTTTAGATTTTGACCAGTGTTTATGAATTTCAAATTGAAAAATTACAAAAGAAAAGTGGTAACGTTTTGAATCCTGTGAGATAGGACTTGCGTCCTCAGGAACTATCGTCCATTGCAAAAATGTTTCGCTTCCGGGAGGAGGATATTTCTAGGAGGATATTTTTAATTTAAAAGATTGTACTCTCTTCCGGTCCACGTGCAGATTCTGATAACAAATTGAAAAAGAAATATTTTTTCTATTTTCATGATACATAGTACTGTTATCTTCACAAAGGTATACAAAGAGTCGATAACGACTGATTCAACGAGTCTCTATTTTATCTTATGAACATATTTCGACACGTAGAATTAGCGAATACTTTGTAAAGAATAAAGTTTATCCAAGCAATTGGGACTATTGGTAAAAAAACGTATCTAGAAGTAGGATGTACCAAATTGTTTGTTCGTCTAATAATGCCAGGAATAATTTTGGAGTTTTACCAGGTAGGATAATTTTCAAAATAAACATTTTGTAAGTGCTGTTCATTTTACCACTTATATTACAAACAAATATATTGTTATAAGTTAATTATTCCTATGTTCATAACAGATGATTTGGCGCGTAACGCGTTTGCCCCTTACGGTATGTTACACGTATCTCCAGAAGCAGGAATGTAAGTACACATTAGAGATAAGTTTAGGATACAAGATGGTCCATGAAAACAGTACAAAGGTATTTTTCAAACGTTTTACGAATCATCGCATAGTCGGATTATCTTTTGATTATTATGTATCAGCGATAACTTTATTATTGAAATGATTGAACTTTTTTAGGGCATTGTGTAAAAACAAGTTTTCTTGTTTCCTTATGGATCACACTAGTACTTTCTATAAGAAGAAAATCTTTCTATTCGAAGATCCGGTAAGTCTTTAGTGTTCTAGAAACTAGAATTGCATAGCTTCTAATCAAATTTAATTTCTTACACGTTACCGTAGATATAAATTTATTGCCAACCAAATCAGTAATTAATTCTCGATCGGTGACAAAACATTTTATTTTTTTATATTTTGATTAATGATCAAGTGTTTGAAGATTAGATCAGATAAAAGATCGTTTTATACGCTGTTTTTCTTTATTATCAATAATAAAGCCGAATTCGTTGACAGATATATGAAACACAATTTACTATCTACATTCAGTTGCATCATGTTTATAGCTTGGAGGAATTATTGTCAATGTGTGGCCTTGCCTATTCATGTCATCGCACGAACTTTATTTACACTATTTACTTACGTTAACAAAGCATGTTATACGAGACGATAAACATATCTCTTATTTCGTGCGAATCTAAAAAAAAGAGACATATTCTTGTTATAACCATAAGAAAGAAATCATATTGCGTTGCAATATAATTCGACTGAAGTAGGAAATAAATCTAGATCAACGGTAACTAGAAACTCATGTTCTTAAGAAGAGCGCGTGACTCCGTGCAAGCGTGACTTCCGTTCGATAGGGGAAAACGCATTTTTCACTAATTTATCGAATACGTAGATAGTTTCTTTTCTGTACAAGTGTCAGTTCGATAAAACATTGAAAGAAAATCGTACATATAAGGTTTTCATTTCGAAAGATCGCCTAATAATTCCCGCCTGTTTGTTTAAGTTCAGGTTATGTCATCGAAGGAGAGTCGCGAATAATTTCCATCGTGAAGGAACACCATGGCGACACACGCAGACAAGAATTTTCCGGCACGTAACGATCGAGTGGACCTACGATCACATCGGATAATCACTTTCGTGTTGCGGAGGTGGGGAATCGTACGGCAGCCGAAGAGCGCGGGGCAAGCGACGCTTGCGCTGAAACGCTCGTCTACATAAATATCGCAGCCGCGCTCCTACAGTAGTAACACAGTCCGTGCTATCAAGCGCTCATTGCCTTCATGACCAGTGCCTTTTAACTCTTTGCAACACAACACTAGGACGCGTCGCGCGACTCCGCTCAACGAGCATCGATCAAACGATCATTTAGTACACCAACACCCCGTGTCATAGCTGGATCATCAGTAACAGCGGTAAGTAACCGCAGTAATCCTTTTTTTTTTTTTTTTTTTTATTCTTTACGTTAACAAAGGATCGAAGATAGTTTACTTAATTCGCGTTCTATCGTAACAATGTTTTAAATGTACGTATTTTCAATGAACGTTATCTAATCAAGGGCAGTGCAGAAACTGCTGTAAATAGAGGAATGAAAGGAGCGCGATCATACTGCTTGACACTTTTCGATCGGAGATCAGCGGTGACCCGTGTCCCCTGAAAGATAGTACTCATTCAAAATTGATATTGTTATCGTGGCTTAGAAATCATTCTTCGTTCTACTTGGGGCGGTATTTTTCTTTCTCGAGTTAGAAAGGTTTGTTTTTTTACAAACCTTATTTGTAAGATTTCAACAATTATTGATTTTTTTCATTTTCTCAGGAGTATTTTATTGAAGTTTCATTTATCATAAATCTCGTCAACTTTGTGATACCTATAATGTGTCAACTGTTCTTATATTGTGCTTCTGAATGACAAAGTGACCGGATAAAGCAGGGAGCGATTAAATCAAAAGCGGATGACAGTCTACTCTAATTAATTTTTGTATTATACTTTCGCATCTGGTTACTTACAATCTACTTATGTATTTGCATCGAGCGATACTATAATACTAGCGGTATATAGAGATTTAGTAAGACGAATAATGATAATCGACTCAGTTTAATCTATCTTTATACCGTACTCAATCTTTTTTTTTAACAGTAGATAAGTCATTCAACTTGTTTACAGAAACTTATTTACCGTATCGTAGTTATCAAAATATCACGAGAATAGTCTAAAGTTTCTTTATTTGAAATTCAGTAGCACTTAAAATATATCGTTAGTTCGCTTTAACTTAAAAATAGATCTAAAGCGAAACAATTAAAATTAATTGCATATTCAATATGTTTCATTATAAAGACCGGTTGGTTATCGTTTGTTATCTTACTGATGTTTTCAAGAGCTCGTTTTTTCAAAAATTTAAATGCAAATTGTTGATAATTCGCGCGAAAAACAAGATGAGCATTACACAATTTTTCCATCGAACGGTAAAGCTGCGCTATCAGTTTGAATTTTTGGCGGCAAACTCGAGAAATCTTCAATTTTATTCGCGTCTAAAATTAATCTTAAATTCTCGCTGTCTCGTTAGAGGTTATAACTTATCAGGTCTAAATAGTAATTCTTTGTCGATATTTCGAGGAAAAAGTTTATTAGTCACGCGTATCTAACGATAAGTTAATCTCTCGTATATTTCTAAACTAAAACAGCTTTAAAATAAAATAGATTGAATGCTTTCCGATTGCAAATTCAAATTCAGCGCTTGGACATCGACGAAGAAACAGGTAATATCGCAATGCTGAGAAAAGGTTGAACAATTTTATCTGCATGCAAGTCGGGAGAACAAAGGCATCTTGCACTTTGCTCGGAACAAGAAGAATCGTGCGCTGTGTCGCGCGGATAAATATTTCATCGAGGATAAAACTGAATCACTCGCAGATAGTATATTTGAATTTCAAACAATGTCGATTGTGTAGGAAACAGAATGACCAATTAATTGGAGTGTCTCACTCTTGTTCCCTTTTCCTGAGTTCAAGTTATCTTAAAATTATAATGAATCATATTCAAACAATTGATCCAATATTGAACCTTCGCAAGCAGAACATTGAGTTTGTAGAAATATTTTCTTATATTTCTATTCCCCTGGACACCATTGTCAAGTAAAAAGAGACGACGTTCGAAGACACTGACCCACATCGTTAAAATAGAAACCATCGAATCACATGAAATTTTCACCGGTCTCCCATTTCACCGGATTGAATATTGCTTTTCGCGATGCAAATCTGAACATCTAATAATGTATCTGAATACACGCGAATGTAGGCGTATACAGGAGCACGCAATAGTAATTACGACTCGGCCGATACCTAGAATCGTATTTATACTAACGAACGGATACCGAAGCTTTGATACGCTTTTAATCGTCGAAGTACACCCGATATTTGATATAGTGATTTATTCGTTATGATCACTGTATGAAGTACTGTTTACCTGTATAGCAGATAATACATTGCTTTATCATTGAATTTATCAATTCACTTTCGTCAATTGATAATAAGTAATCGTATTTTCGATAGTTCCCGAGAGTAAAACACACGATGGTCTACTTAAATTCCGTTTAAACGATCCCATAGAATATAAGGTCGTCAAAGTGCTAACACGTGCCGTGCTGTTTTTTTACGTAATTTTCCATTCCGGCTATGTGGGTCGCCAATGATTTATTTATTACACACAGACTCTGGCCATATAATACAATGTTTTTTATCTCCCGTTGCGTAACGAGAAATTCATAAATTATTTAATAGCGTTACACGTAAAAATTAAACATTCTGTTTTATAACATTAGCCTAACTTTCTAAATTTCACTGCATATTTATATTTATTTCAATTTCTCATACCTCATCTCGAATAAACGGGTATAATTCAATTACGCGATTCGGTTTACACAAACTGCACGTGCGTGTAAACGTTGACGCCTAACTAACGATAAATCTAAAGCTGACAACATTGTCATCAAAAACGTTCCTCCGCTTTCGCTTACCGATGTTTTCTCGGGTATTAAATGTCGTCTACACGATACCTGTATCTAATTTGCCTGCAACGATAACGTGGCTCGTGACATTGGCAACGAACTGCAACTTCCGTAAACAGTTCGGTTTAACCGGTTTCCAACACTTTGATAACCGTTTATCTCTCGCCTATGAACTTCACGCTTCGTTAAATCATTATTTACCGTGAATGAAACTTATATATATATATATTTTTAATTGACAATTAAATACAGATATGAATTAAATATATGTTTGTTTTAGAAATACAAATCTGAAGGAAAATTCAGATTTCAGTGATTCATATCGACGCAACGCGAGCGCGCTCCTTCTTTTTCGAGATCGTTAAAACGATCAAACCTGTTGTTAACGACGTAGCATGATAAAAGGAAACAAGTAAAAAGTAAACCGATCGACACGTGTAAGTACATACTCCGTAAAACAATGTACGGCACACATGATCTGGTTTTTCCTACGCGACACACTGAACTCTCTCTCGGCGAGTCTACGGTGGGTCATATCTCCGATTATGTTTTCGCCAGTCTCCATGGCGATATAACGTCGGTACAAACGAATCGATCTAACAAATGTTCTTTCGTGTATTAACGAGCGGGTTGGTGACACAAACGTGCTGATAGCGATGCTGGTTACACGTGTAATCATGGAGCAAACCCGTGTTTACCCGAAAACTGTGTCACCAAACGATTTTCGAATGGACAGAAAACAAAAATATTTACCACCTCGATGTTGCATAATCTTTATTTCTTGTTTTGGTGCGTGCTGTATAGACGATTAGTATTTCAGTAGTGATTATGAATGATAAGAAGGTTTTTTTCTTTCATTGGTCAACTGATCAATGAAACATTCAACTTAAAAACCTCACTGAATATATATTTTCCTTTTTCGTATTTAATTAACTGAAAGGTTGATACTGACACAGTGATACACATTTCGTTCGATCTAGTGTAATCGATTGTTCAGTGCAAAGATGTAGAACGCTCTCGTTTAAAACTGTTCGAAAGTAGAAGTAATGAAGTATGTATTGACTGTGGTGCAAGTGACACTGTTTCATTCCTAAATGGTAACGTAACGATACTTAATATAATTTGACAAGAGGAGCAACTACGCTGACGCACACTAAATGGCCAATTTCGTAACATCAAAAGTTTGACGTAATTTGATGACACAAAACTACTATAAAATTGCATGTACGACATATTAAATTGTAGCTTGAAATCTACTTTATTCGTTACACAAAACACGCAAGAATAGCATTACGGATTTTGAGGACAGCGCAATGTTCCTTCATTGCATTTCCACCCGGAAGTCGAATTTACTTTCAGTCTCGTATCGAATCGGACTGCTGTACTATTTTTGCTAGCTTATTATCTATACAAGCAGCATAGCATCTGAAAATGAAACAGTTGTGCAGTGTCAAGTTGATTTCGCCTGGCAATTGCACTCGAAAGATGTTCTAATATATTTAGAAAATAGAAATATGGTATAAAATGTAGAAAATGAGAACGAGAAGGAATTTAATTAAATTAATCATTGGATCAGCAGAAGCTATATCTAGCATACTGTAATTACTACGATGCATTGAAGGTTAACGAACAAATTGAAGGGGGATCCGTTAATATTCACGTTGGTGCCCAATTGCCGTGGTAAAAACGAGGAAATGAAAATTACCACCTCATGGCTAGAGGAAGCGTGGCTCTCAATAGTGAATCACGATTCATAAAGGTGCCCTTGGTGTGTGTATGAGCCCGAAATAGTTGGCAGAATACTAGAATGTTTAACAATTCACGGTCTTTCGTGCCACGTTTAAATCGTTAAGCGAAAATAAACGATTATCAATGGGTGAAAATAACACGCTTACCCATCTATCGCGTTTCTTTCGAAAGATATTATTATATCTTCGATTAATATGATAACCTATTTTCATTCGAATGGAAAACGTAAGGAAACTTTATTTCTTTATCGAAGAACTTTTATAAATTTATTTCAAGTAACTTCGAGGGTCGTTGTGCCGTTTGGTAGATAATTAATACCGCTAATTGCTTTCATGGCTTCTTTTCAATTCGACTCGAAGGGTGTTCTCCACAGCGTGAGCTCGCTCATTTGAACGTATTCATTTTGAAAGGAATCGAAAGACTACTCGGAAATCTATAACAGAGAAAATGCTTAAAAGCTTAGTAAATCTTAATGCGCGTTATTCGGCGAATGTAAATTTTAGAGTCAAGGTTAAATGACCTGACGACAGTTCGAAATGACACTATTACAATAAAATACATGACAAGATTCTGGCAGGGTGATTTACCTTGAATTTGTCAACGTTACACAACTTTTCGCGAACAATGAATCGTATAACTTTTCAATTATACGAACGATAAGTATTAGAAAGTACTCGTTAAGGATGGTTAAAAAATGACAAGTAAATTGGTAATTTGTAGATGCAAGAACTACATCTGTCAAGAAAAAATAGGTTAGTGGAACAGTTTAGCATATCAGACGAACTAATAATTCAAAACCTCACGTGTCGCATGCAACGAGAGGCGAATTCGATCTCTTAACGGTTCTCCTAGTAAAATATCTTTCTTCGTTCGACCATTGATTCTATCTTTCCATGCTACAAGTAGCTTTTAAGCCGATAATAATTCCTTAATAAAAAAGTTGCACAAGGTATCTGTATTAAGCTTTTAACACCCCAGGTAGACCGATTAATAGTTTCAAGAGATAATGTCTAACAGGTGGTACCTTAAGCGTGAACAAGACTACCATTGATACTTTATATCCTTACAATTATTTCTCCATATAAATAATTTTCCTGTACCTTAATAAATATTTAACGAATAGTAAAACACTATAAGGACACCCTGTATACTCATCGTGTTCGTGTTATATGAACATGTGTTGGAGTATTTACAGGCTTGATACTGAAAGCACGATGACATTACGATAATGAACACATAGATCAGTAAATAATAAGAATGTGGGAAAGAAATTCAATTGTGTATATTCAAACATTGCGACATTAACGAGTCATAATTAACATGCTTGATCAATAACAGGTAAATATTTATTCGAAACTGTTATTAATTTACAACGATTCTTTTGTAATTAACGAAAAAATGCTAAAAATAATATCATTGCTATGTATATCAAATCTTATCACTGTGCAAAAGCTTAAGATACAAAAAAAATCAGTAAAAATAAATATATGTAACGATTAACTGTTTCAGTTGATAAAATTCCAGCGATAAAAATGTTTTTATGAATACACAATCGAAATATGCATCTTGTGTGATTTATTTCTACGAGGGACATTGTGAAGGCCATTTTGCAATTACCTTCATTCGCGTGACAAATAACATAATAAAATTATAAATTTAATATTTATACTTTTCACATTCATTAATCCAAATCGTGAATCAAATTCTTCACTTTCACACATTTGGTTTATATTTACTGCTACCAGTATTGCATTTTATTTCATTTAAAGTTACAAGAGACTACGTATTGCAGTTGCTTACACGATTACCGATTGAAATCGATATGTAAATACATAAGCCATCAAATATATTAAATTACTGCAACAAATAAGCTGTATAGATACATATTGCTACTTGATCCTCAATTCAAATTAAGAACAGATAATGAAGTACAATCACAGATGAACAAAACTGGTTATTGAAAGTGGAAAAGAAAGGAGACAGTAGCTGAAGAAACATGAATTTAAAATTTGTTCGAAATACGATGGAACCGGTATTTCTGTCAGGATTCGATGGAAGGGATAGGTATATAAATGATACCTGCTCCAAGTTGTGTTAGTGGACCAGTGAATAGCACGTTGATCCTTATTCGCGGCTTTTGTTCTTATTTTGCCTTGTTTTCAAATATTAAGTTAATCGAAATTCGATTCTCGCCGAAGAAAAATTGACGAACGAAAGATCGAGAGTTTGAATTTAAAATGAGTCCGAACATTTTAGTAAAGTTATGCGGTACAAGGGTATTGCAGAATGTCGGTATCGGTCAAAAGCCGAAATGGATCACCGTTAACAGATTCCTTAGGTTAGTAAATTTATTTATCTAGTTGTACTAACAAAATACAAAGAGAAACGATACTTGCACTTAGACGAAATTACCTCCATTCAAATATACCATTTTCTTTTATTCGGTGCTTTCAAATCTCCATACTTATAATATTGAATTCTGTGAAATGAAAATTTGGACTTGGCATAAAATTGAAATAGAAATGTACCATTTAACATCTACCACTTTCTACCAGGCCCGTCTCCAACATCCGCTGTTCACACTCCAGGTAGACTATAGCTGAATGTCAAGAATAGAAATGCATATATTAACTCTAGTTCTAGAACGGCCTTGCGTTTTGTGGAAAGTTACTTAAACTGTTTATCGAGAGCCATGGGAAGATTAGCTAAGATAACAGGAAGCTAATTATTTCAATAGCTTTGGTTCAATAAGCTGTACGGTATCGATGTTGCGAAACAAGAAACGTAGCCGCGGGGATACGTTGTTTTTCACTATTGCTTCGAAAATGATTCCCTGTATCGACAGTTTATGAATGCAACAGCAGAGAATATACAGCCAACCGACAGTCTTCACTTTAAATGGCGGTTGATGCCAGACCGGTAAATTGCCCAGCTTGTTTCACAATGCATCGTGCATTCCAAAGGTGAACGAGATGCTTTGAAATACGGTGTCCTTAATGCCTTCGTAACTGCCGGCTAAGAAGCAAACGTATTCCTTGTACAATTTTGATGGACATTGATGGATTGGTTTCGTGAAAAATCGCTTAAATTACATAATTTACATCGTTATCAGGAATTCTTTTCGGTGATTGTAAACCTCTCGATAAATTATATAACAGGTTTCGTTCGAATAATTAGACTTTAACTTGTTTAAGGTGCACCTCGAGTGTTTCGAACGAATAAAGATCATTTCAAGGCAATCGGGATGAAACAACACGGAAAGTGTATTTACTTCAGATAAGTGTGAAAAACGAAAGATTAGAAGTAGGTAATAATGATTCCGCTAATCAAACGAAAGGGAACGCGTGAATCACACGGAAGTCCATCAACGTCTCCGCGCGAAATAATGTTTTTAGCTGTACACATATACCACTACGTGACTCGTAGATTCGTCACGTGCTGCATAATAACCAGTTGTAGTGTTATCGCGGTTTTCTTTATTGAATCGGAAAAATTCTACATTATCCGAGACGTAGAATTCACCTCGGCCTATTGTTAGAGTCATTACCTAATAGACAAACGCTTAATCTTTTTATTAACCAATCTCTGGGTAATATCAAAAACGGCAAATGGACCGTAAATAACCAATTAAAAAAACAAATATTTATTTGATCACCACGTTAATTGAAAATGTTTCTCGAAACATCTCTAAATAGGAAGGAATTAAAGCGATTGTTTATCAGGGAACTGTTCAATAAGCAACCCACGTACATTAACTACTGATTAGAGACGATTGTATAATTGCAGGAGAGAAACTGCTTGCGTTTGATAATGCGCAATTTTCCAGTTTAACAAGGAGCTAAGTAGAGGAAATTTTCCGTTCTTCTTAGCGATTGAAAAATAAACTTCTATCTTTTCGTGTCTATTTCTGAATACACTATCGATATTTTGAAGATAGAAAATTTGCAAAAAAAATCGTACCATGTCATTTGTACCGCAGAGTAGCTGCATCCATTAGAAAATGCATCCCTCTTTATAGGTGAAAGGTGAACAAGTATCGATGTTTCGAGACGCGTGCATTATCGAAAAGAAAAGGAAAGATTTAAAAATAATCCGAAATGGCCTTGAACACGCCCGAAATATTTGCACGTGCGAGCAGGGTTATGATATCGGGTAAAGACCTCTCCGACACGTTGTTAAAACGCGTTCCCAGTGGGTGACTAGCAATATGCATACTACTGTGATACACGCTGGAACCGCGTGCGTGCTGCGTGATGTTTGATGCGTGCTGCGTGATACGTGGGCGCGCCTCTATGTCTCTTTCACCAAGAATAAACCCAGAGGAATCTTTTATGTGTTCCTCTACGCTTGGTTGCATTTCGTATGTACGTATGAATGGATCTGCGTAATGTGCGTTACACATACGCGATATCATTACTAGGCGGCACCACGCTCCATTTTAATCTGATCAATTCGCTTCCCTAATGTATGCAATATTCAAATCAAAACACGATTCGAACCGCTAAAACATTGGAAAGTTTTCGTTCGAATCCAATCATTAAGTATCATTCTTTCAAACGAATTTTCCTTGATCAACAGGAAAATTCAAAATGAAATATTGCGTCATATAGCGTTGTACAATTAAACGCGGTGGCGCAATGTGACATATTAAGTGTATAAATAGATTCTCAAGGTATAATTAAAAGGTACATTTGTTAATAGGAAAGAAATAAATCTACCCCCTGTCAAAGTAGATACCGTTCCATCTTGCCAAAAAAACAGAAGATTCACTCATGATTTGTTACATTTATAATTACTATCATTATCCGTTCTTTCTTTCAATTTGCCACAATAGTTCACCATGATCTTCGGCTCCCTATCTTTTCCAAATGAAATACCGTGCCGGGACGGTGCACCGCTCTTGCTAGACCGCGGGAACTTACATTTTATCTAATACGGAATAATTTAATGAATTTTTTATTTGATGTTACAGTATCACAATGTCGCGTCTTATGCTGAAGGAGTCGCCGAACGCGGCCCTAGATAAGACCCTGCTGAACAGGTACCTGGAACTACCCCAACCGGAGAACACAGTTCAGGCGAAATACATTTGGATCGATGGTACCGGTGAAAATTTGCGAAGCAAGACCAGGACCGTTGATTTCGTGCCGAAACATCCGTCAGGTAATTATCCGGGTAAACGTAAGCAGAAAATACGATGCGCGTGTCTCTAGTTTCGGAACAACCTTGATCACCGTTTTGAAATACGAACGATCAGGTGTACTTATGTTTTGGATGATAACCAAAATGTTATCTAACCATTTTTAACGTTATGCCACGATGAGACTAAAAGACTATAGTACATATATGTACTCAAGATTACAGTCTCTGGGAGATTGGAGAAGATCCTGTTTGTCTTTTCTCAATTTGACCCAACATCCGTATCTTCCTTACCTGCACATTTCAATCATCAAATTGTAATCCTTCCTGAATGCTAATCACATATGTGAGATTCAGTGCGTAAATACTTGAATTTTCTACGTCCAGCGCATATGCAACAACGTTGGGCACAGTGAAATAGCATATATTTGTATTCATGAAATTCTATACGCGTTACGGAACTATTTACACATTGCAACGCATAGAGTCTACGAGGACGAATTTAAATACCGTCGATTAGGGATAAAATGTGTATTGAATCGATACCTTAGGATTTAAATCTTGAAATTGATCTGATTTCTATTCTCTTTTTAGAATTGCCGATCTGGACGTACGATGGTAGCTCGACGTACCAAGCGGATGGAGCGAACAGTGACATTTATCTATGCCCGGTAGCGATCTATGACGATCCGTTTCGTCGCGGGAAGAACAAACTTGTACTCTGCGACACTTATTACAGCGATATGACACCAACGGCGTCTAACAAGCGTTTCAAAGCGAACGAGGCTATGGAAGCGGTGAAGGATCAGGAACCATGGTTCGGTATCGAGCAAGAGTACACTTTCCTTGATTTCGACGGTAGGCCCCTTGGCTGGCCGAAGAACGGTTTCCCGGGTCCCCAAGGACCGTACTACTGCGGCGTCGGCGCCGACAAGGTTATCGGTCGCGAAATCGTCGAGGCTCATTACCGAGCCTGTCTTTACGCCGGCGTGAAGATTGCTGGTACAAATGCCGAAGTAATGCCGTCTCAGTGGGAGTTCCAGGTTGGTCCCTGCGTCGGCATATCAGCCGGCGATGATTTATGGGTCGCCAGGTTCATACTGCATCGCGTGGCCGAGGAATACGGTGTGATCGTCACCTTGGATCCAAAGCCCGTGGACGGTTCGTGGAACGGCGCTGGCGCGCACACGAACTTCTCGACAAAGGCAATGCGAAACGAAAACGGTATCGCCGAGATCGAGAAGGCGATCGACAAGCTGAGCAAGCAGCACCTAAGGCACATCCAAGCGTACGACCCACGCGGAGGAAAGGACAACGAACGTCGTTTAACCGGAAAATGCGAAACCAGCAGCATACATGATTTCAGCGCTGGTGTAGCGAATCGTAATGTCAGTATTCGTATACCTCGAGGCGTTGCCGAGGATAAGAAAGGGTACCTGGAGGACAGAAGACCAAGTAGCAATTGCGATCCATACTCGGTGTGCGACGCTCTTATTCGTACTTGTGTCCTCAACGAGTAAAGAATTATAACGGTTCCTGAAGACGATGCTCGGTGGAAAGGAATAATTGGACGATAAATCGGTAGTGCGATAGAGTGGCTGAACTTACGTTGAACGTGTTCCATGCACATTGTAAATTGATTATTCATAGTGAGAGAATACAAGATTTGAACGAGAGAGGATGTATACTTCAAGCGAGACGGAATCGTTCAAGGACCATCGATCATGTTATAAATAAAATTGCTTTCAAAGGAAGCTGAGAGGAAGGGAAAATAAGGAAATTCGTATCGTTGATCGGTGTCGATTAGATAGCTAGAAATTTCAAGTCTCGTGTAATAACGGATACGAGGAAAATGCACAAAGTAAAGACGAGACGATTGATAGGAATAATTATTTGCTTTTGCCACAATAATATCTTTTAATAAATTGTTGCGAATCGAGTGATGTATAATTTATATTTCATACTTTGAAACAGTGCAATAGGAATGGTTACTTTTATGATATATTGTCACGGTGGTGTAACCATGATTTATACGCCATTTATAAAAATTATTTTTCTCAATTAACATGTACTTGTTAGCATAGAATGAAATGAAACGTGTAAAAGCTATAGAATGTTGCACTGAAATATAATACATATCTTTTGGACAAATTTGATACCTCTCCTGATACCTGAAAATACGGGCATGCCACCCATATATCGTTATTATAATAAATGAATGTAAATCGTGGAATTCCATGAAGGCACGATAATTTAGAAAAGTTGAATATAAGCATCCCTTTATCGCAGTTTAAAATGCTATGACTGCGACTCTGTGTATTTACGATAATACATACATAATGAAAGGAAAAAAGTGGATGTAGCATGTATATGGTGTATTTTCATATTTGTATGGTATATTTTCATATTTGTATTTTCTATGCTGAATTCTTCAATATAACTGTATACCATAACCATTGTTGACATTTTTGTTGGTAGTGGTTATCACTGTTGTTGTTATTGATAATAAAAGGCAACAATTTTTAACGAAGAATAAATGTACTCTTATTAGTAAATAACATTCACTTTGTTATATTGTAAATTAAAATTTACTAAATTTAACAAGGTTTAAATATTTCACTCATAGTAAAAGGTATGTCGCATAATTTATATTTCATATATATACGTATAATATACAAATCGTATCAACGATTACGGTTAATACAACTGAATTTCATATCCTACTTGTGCATAGCACTTGATTTTTCTATACTTTCTGATATTCAACGGTATGATAAACGTTTGCCTTTAAATGCAATTGGCCTTTTCATAAATTGTTTATACCACATATATCCAGTGAATAAAGAAAGGGAATACCATGTAATGATATAACTCAAATGTTCATTTCTTAATTCAACTTTTGTTTGACTTCCTATTGGAAACTCTGATGAATTCTTATTGTGAATCATTTCAATATATACAGGACTTGCATCTGCCTTTTTAGCCATTTGATTCAAATCTCTTAAAGAATAAAATATACAAATGTAATATTAATTAGAAGATTAACAAAATTAAAACTGTGACTGAGTTAGATTATTTGGATGTGATTTGTACATTTACCTATAATACCACACACTTTTTTCTGGAGCATTGCCTGGAATAAATGGTGGTCTTTTTTCATTTAATCTTACAATTCCTACAATTTCTACTTCATTCTCTGTTTGATTTTCATGATTTCTTACTGCATTATTATACAGTGATGGAATCCAGCCACGATTTACCAAAATTGTCAAACTATAAAATATTTTATTTAGAAAGAAAATATGTAATAGATATGCATGTTTAATAGCATTGAGTTTGGTAGTATAAATTTACTTACTCTCTATCAGCCAATTTCAAGGGTGTAATAACATGGTATCCTATTTGGGGGGTTTGTTTATTAAAAAATGCATTATAGTCTGCAGATTTTCCATCTACTAATAAACTTCTGTAACCCACAAAAAATTCCTTTTCATACAAAAATGTTCCTTTTACTTTAACAGGATAATATTCCATTGACTGCAATTCCTGTAAGCTAAATGAAATTATTTAGTTTAATTATTTAGTTCAATTTTATACCACTAAATATTTCATAATTTTTATTGATCTTACTTTTCTGGTAGTTCGATCGGCTGATGATTAATACGACTACTCAACTTTTCTATTAAATCTAATTTCCATTTGCGTCTTTGAATTTGCCATGTACCAAGCATAAATGTGGCAAGTGGTATACTCTAAAGTAGTAAAAATTGTTAATGAAACCTGTTAATTTTTATATTTGCTGATTTTTTGTAATGTACTTGCCAGTAAGAAATATGTGTAAGGATCGTGATTTTTTCTTGAATTATAAGCATTGATTTTATCTCTTAAAAGAAGGTTAGGTTTAACCTCTGGTTTAGTAATATTTGTAACATTACACAGTGATCGAATAGAATACGCTTTGTTTAACAAAGACTGAACAATATTAACATTGAATTGGTTTCCAATTCTTGAAAAAACTTTACTAATTCTGAATTTCATATTTTACGATTTCAAGTTGTGAACTTTTTTAATATAAATTATCACAAACATAATATCGTAAGCTACTTATTTGTATAAGAAAATGTAAAAATACTTCAGTTATCGTATCAAGGATTTGAACAAGTTTTACATTTTATTAATTTGTAAAGTTACATATAAACAATCTGTGCCAGGGACTACACATATATACTGCAGTTTACCAGAGTCCATAACTGCGAAAAGACCAGTTTTCGTTCTTCGCGCTTCTCCAGTGCGCATCTTCGCCCTGATTGGCGATACTCCCAAACGAAGTGGAAAGCGATTAGCAGAGAGCTCGCTGCGTTCCCCCACCATCTTCCAACCTGCGCGTCGCAGTTATGGACTCTGGTGAACTGCGGTATAATACACGAGACATGTTCTCATGATTTTGGGGGTCTTCAGATACCCCAGGTGAAGTTAGATCATCATGTAAATTTAAATTGGTATTTTATGTTATTTGTTGGGTGGATTTTACAGTTTTAGGTGGGTCACATTCGTAGCCACCTCCACGTGGTGTGACCTGGTAATCGATATCGTCGTCTAAACATTTATCAAAAAATAATGTTAGAAAACGATATCGAGCTGAACGCTACGATTCGAGTAACATAAGTAAAGTAATAACATAAATTTTTTCGAGTCAAGATGTTTTGATATACGATATATTGATCGTGCTCTTTATTTTTCTTTGATTCTTCTTTTCGAAAGGATCCTTCGATCCTTCAACCCCTTATTTAATTCCTAAAATCACCGTTCTGAATCATAGAGTGCGCCACAAAATGAGTAGCAGAAACGAGGTTTAAAGTTATGTCGGTATTTTTGAATTTACGACACAAAGTCTCATATGATGATATGTCTCTTCTAAACCTCGTTTGTGGTATGTTTATATTAAGATAGAGCAAATGACGTTCGTTTTCGCGAATATATTCGTGTTCAGTTTTTGTAGATCTGTAATCATTGTTAATATTAGGGAATTTCGAAAATCGTGCACCAGATGACGGCACCGGTACACGTAGCGGCCGGCACGGGGAATAAGTAACTTCAGTCGATCGTTGACTGCGGCCGTGGGAGGACGGTAGGGTCGACAGTCGCACGCTATCTGAATATAGATCGGGATTGGTTGACGGTTCTCCCGTAAGCCCCGCCTACCAGGTGGTCGTTCGAAAGTGTAGTTGTGTAGTTCCTTACGACGAAACGACGGGCGCTGCTCTCTCCCCAACGTATCCAATCGCGAGAAAATCTGAAATGAGACGTGTCGGCGCGCTAATATGTGACGGTTGAGAGGAAACGAGGACCAGGAACGTGCGAGAGGGTGGTTTACGCGCGGGTGCTACCACTTTCGAAGCGTGACGAGGAGAACGAACCGCGTAAAGAAGTGGCGGAGGTGGCGAGCGTGAAAGAAAATAATAACGTCGAGAAACGAGAGAAAAGACGACGCGTGTGTGCCAGAAGTACGGAGTCCAGTGTGAGAGAATAATCCTCTATTTCGGCGGGGGGGATCCTATGTCTATCTCTCATCCTCTCTCTCTGTGTATTTCTGCCTTCTATTTTTTTTTTCTCTTCCTTTCTGTTTCTATCCGCCTTTATCCCGGATAAAAATATCGTCGCGACATAGTGTCTTTTTCATCGAATAGTATGCTCCGTATCGTATCGGGGGGATAACAAGTAAAAGATAGAAAAGTGCTTCGTTTAACCAACAAGGACGTCAGCTGTGTGCGCTTTTACGAGAGGGACGTGTGCGAGAGAGAAGCCGCTGCTGAGAGACAGAGAAATGGCGGCGCTGGTGGCAGGTGTCCAGTATGGTTTGTCGTCACACAGTAATTTTCACGAAAACAAGTCCCTGATCTTCGTGAAGCTCACCGACTCGGCGCAACGTGCCATCGAGGACTTCCTCAGAAATCGGGTAAGTAAAATATTATATTCTCTTTTTACGCGATCACTTAGCCTCGCGTACAGGCTAGAATCGCAAGCTTCTGTCCGCGTGTGTGAGTGAGCCCTCTCTGCATGTGTGCGTGCCTCTGCACGTCGTCACGAAACGGCCATGTGTGCGTACATGTGTCGTAATGTCGTGCCAAGGAAAGAGACACCCGATCGACTCGCTCGCCATATTTCGTGTGGAATTTCGTTACCACAGCCACTAAAAAATCATCGCCTATGCTCTTAAAAATAATTACAAACGTTCTTCTTCTAACCTAAAAACCTAACGACATTCAGAAAAATAGCAGGAAAAAAATGATCGCGAAACTAACCGAACGAGGCCACGTTGACTCGTTAGCAGCTGGTTACTGCTCCACGTTTCTTACCCGTTGTTCGCGAACGGTTAATACAAAAATTGAACGCTATTCATTTTCGATTGATCCCGAATACCCTTTCCATCGGCTTCATTCTTTCGACTGTATCGTTACAATAAATCCGTATGGTTTGACAACGACATTACGTAATAAGAAGACTGACAAGGCAGTCAGCTCGGTGAATTGACTTGCCCGCTGCGGTGGTTTATTCGAAAAAAAAACGAGCAAGTTTCGTTGGTCTGAAAATAGTCGGATCTGTGGAATCTGTCGAGAGTCGTGTTACTTTTCGCGTTCGTAGAACATGAAAATAGATGAATCATCGTTGCCAGTCACTGCCTTTAGAATGGTAAAGCATGATTTCTGTAATCTGGCTTTCCTTCGTTCGTTTTTATCGCTCTGACATTATCGTGGCTGATATTTAAAGATACATTCGGCTGCATCGTGGTTTCGTAGAGGTTATGTTTGTCCACCATCTGTCCCTTGACTCTACGAAACATTTATTATTTCTCTTTTTGAAAACGAGTAATCGCGAGCACGATCCTGTATTGATAATAAAAATTAGTAAAAATTCCATGATTCTTGCATGACCCGATACGTCCTAACCTCTTGGACGAGATTCGAAAGCAAAGTCGTCAAAGGGGCGTGCCTTTCGTCCAAATATATTGGCATTGAAAAGCCGGCCAGTGCATGCAATGCTTCTACACGTTCGTATCGACGACACGCGTATATATTTTGTGGAAAAAGAAAGAATCGAAGAAAAAAACGAATACATATGCGAAAAGTATCTGCAAAAGTTTTACATGGGTCACCGCTTATCGCTTACTCCTTTTTCTTCTTCTTTCCATTCACTCTTTTGTACGGGTTCAACTTGTGCCAACATTTAAGAAACAATATCTTTTTACCGAGCGAGCAAGATTTCAACGGAGATTTCGAGAATTGTTCGATTCGATCGTGAAATATCTCTTTCCATATGTTATCCTGGTCGGTTGTCAACTTGACGGTTCGGTGTTGAGTCATCGGTCAAACATTGCAACGTTTCTTTTATCATTGACGTAAGAAAACCTGACCATTTCGTGGATCAATGCATTAACCAGTAATTTTTTTGCATACGGAAAAATCGCCTACACGATACTCTACAATTCCTTTCTTTCACTATTTTTTTCTCTCGTAAAACTATAGTACGCTGGACACGTTTGATTTAAAATTCAAATTAGGGGATTTAATTTTAACAGCCGTTTATCGCACCAACTTTTCCACTTGGCGAGCATTTATCATTTATTTTTCATTGCACAGCCCGCACGATTTATCTCGAACACGTAACCGCGGTAGATGTTAGAAAGATTCTTAATTAGAAAATAAATTTGTCAAATTTGAGGGTCGTTTGTATCTCAAACTGTGACTTTCAACCTCGTTATTGCGTCAGAATGACCGATGGCGAAAGTGTTAACTCTAATAAACAGAAGGCCGGATATCTTGCGGCTCGCGTTACTCCATAACACGGGACCGAGTTTATTCTCCCCGTTTCCTTCCTTTCCAAATAAGTCTCGCCTAAGAAAAATAATGATTCGCGTAGGAATGGAAAACACGATGTTTCTTAATTGAGCAAAGGTTTTTCTTTGTTTGCTTCGTAAGGGTAAACAAGCGGTGGATCGATAAACAACGGCATTGTGGAAGAATTCGCGAAATTGCAAACGGAATGCGGCAAACCGTTTCTTCGTTCCACGCGAGGAAACAGTTGCATTATGCTTTGTCGGCCGTTTGATACTGTTGCACGGACCGTGTCCTTTCGTGCGGATAAATATTTGCTTTTCCGACGTGCAACCTGGCAATCCGATCGTGTTCTTGCGTGTCCAAGTAATTCGTCTATCAATAATCACCTGGCTACCTTTAATTAATCAATCGGTAACGAGTCGTTTGAAGAATTCGCGATGCATAAATCGTGTTTTCTTCGCTGTCTGCATTCGGAGCTATTAAAGTAGGGAAAGGAAAGGGGTTAAACAACCTCGAAAGCAATACTTCTGGTAGGGTCGTTTAAAAAAGCAACGCCGACAGGGTGTTTCGGGGCTGGATTCTGGCAAAGGCCAGTTTCTCAGCTCGGGTACGTGGCATAACCCCGTAAGAAAAGAGGCGTGGGGCCTGTTTCGAGTAGCACAGCTGTTCTTCGAAACTTGAATAACGATCCGGGGGAACAGGCCGACGGCTGGAAATTTTACAAGACCGAGTGCGAGAGCGATTCGAATCGGGCCCACCGTGAAACAGTCGCTCGCATCGGGGGAACTCTATTTCTGTCTTAATAAATTCTCGAAGCCGCGAACGATTAAAGAAAAATTCACTGCGATACGATGATTTCTCGTCAAACGATAGCAACTCGAACAAGGAGCAACGCTTGTGTATTTTTAACGAGCGGAACGTTTAGAAAGCGTCGGTTTCGACGATTGCAAACATTTCCTCGTGGAATGCAACGGAACGTCTGTGTCGTTTTTAAGAAAGCAACGAATATCTTTTGGAAATGGATATTCATGAATATTTTCGTAGACCATTATCACGAGGGTGCAAAAATTCTTGGCGTTCGAGGTTTTCGCGTTTCTCGGAATGCTTTCAAGCATTACCCGCTCGAAATAGAAATCGGCCTTTCTCGGCGCCGTTTGAACGAAGTTTCTCCGTTCCGGAAAACTTGCTTCTTCAGCGCGTCGCTTTTAAAGCAACTGTATAATTGAAGCAAAGGGGTGGTCAGTCGTCGGTAGCCAAGGAAACAGATGTCTCGTAGGGTTCCTCGTCGCGACGTCTTTAATTTGTCTGTCGCGTTTCGACTCGTCCTATCCCCTCGGTTCCTTTCCTTTTCTTATTAATTTAATCCTTCTCGGATGATTTATCTTCTCCTTTGCTCCCAGTTTCCCTTCCTTTCCTTGTTATTTGTATTCTGTTCAACAATCGAGATCAGATGGTAAATTTTCTTTAAGTAAATCGATTGCCTCTTTTGGAGCGCCAAGTTTTTTGCAGCTTGTAAATTGATATCGGGTAAAAAATTCTCTGGTCTCTTTGTAATTTTGCCTTTCGATACACGTCGATTTCTCTGGCCGTTTCGAGCCTCGTTCTTCGACTTTCCCCTTTCGCCCAGAACCTCTTCGTCATCTCGCGACCCTCCGTACTTACGATCGTGTTAATCAAGTTTCGATTAAAGAATTTTCGGGTACGATAGGAAGGTATGCCGGACGATACGAAAACGTATCCAGGAAACGAAGATCGATCGGGTGAATGTGACGATTTCTTGGGAAGAAACGTACGCGTTCCCGTTTCTTTGACCGCGCGATATTCGGTGCGTTAAATACGACGGATCTCGCGGGTATCTAGAATTTAGCACGCGGCCTGCGATAAATTACAGCGGGTGAAAGTGAACGGCCAAGACGTATCAAAGGGGGAGTGCATATTTCGCGAAATAATGTCAACGGTCGAGAGCCTTGAAAGTGGCTCCGAACGTGTCGATCTCGAGGAAATCGATTGGTTGGGATCGGTTAATGGAGCGAGTTATCGGTCTGAAATACTCCCGAAATCGTCGGTTTAATGACCGATCGAATTCGTTACCCCGTTTCTTTACGCCTTCGGACACCTTCTCGTCCGACTTTTTTCTCATCGCAACACCGTCGAATCGGCGATCCGTAGTAAAAATTCACTTCCGTAAAGTTTGGCCGAGTATTTAGCCGGGATTTTTCAGCAGGTTATCGCTCGATCGTTGAAACGTTCACGGGCTCGGGGAAACACGTGTTGCGCGAGTCCCTGTTACGATTTTACGTGGAAATTTATGTGCAATCTAAATGGAATTACCCGGGAAGAATCGAGGTCACGTGGATCGTTACGTAATTAAAGAAAATTAATGTATCTAGATCGAACGGTGTTAAATCACGCTCAACGAGTCAAATTCTCGTCGCCTTCGAAATAAAATCTTAAACTTAAAACTTTGCTGAAAGGTGTAACAACTACATCCTGTTTTGTCCGTATCCTTCGAATCAACGCTTCGAGTAATATCGATGTTACTTTTTGTCTTCGATAAATTAGGCTCAAGATCGTTTCGCCAGGGAGAACCAAAATGAGAATAAATATTGATGACGTTATTGCTTCAACGAGTATCGAGGTGGCCGGTTGCTCGCGCAAAGGTTAAATAATGAATTCAAACTCTTTTAGTCTCCGCGTTAATGGAATTAGACGTTTAAACGTTGAATCGCACGACGACAGCCAGATTAAGAACTCGCTCGTCAGCTTCGTTTGTCCATGCTTGAATCAGCTAAAACGATACTTTGGAAGCGCAGCATTTCGCTTTCACCTGCCCGTTTCACGTGCATCCGACGAGATTCACATTGAAATAAGAAGGGCGTCCCTTTTGTGAGCCTCCAGGCTCCTCGTTTCCTTTCTTTCGACCTCCATTTTATTCGGCTCCACGACTCTGCCCTCCGGGGCCGTTCTTTTCGTTCGGTTTCCTCGAACGAATTTTTGAAACCTGCTTCGAACGATCGAAAAACATGATCTGTGAACGCGTGATCGCATGGGATCGTAAATATTTGCGAATTTATCAATTTGATTTATTTCAACTTTTCAAGATACACAAAGTATACTGCAG